TGGGGCGGTTCCTATGACATGACCCGGGGATACTTTGGTGTCCCGTTCGTAAATTTGATAGTTTCTATCTCCCCTAATCTTCTGGTAAACCTCCCACCCTGCCCCCACCCAAACACCACCCCACGTCTTTCAATTGCACTCCCAAGTTATTTATGACTTATCTGTCTTCAATATCATATCTTACACTTTTTATAAAGTAAAAGAAAAATTAGAAAATAATATCAAAATCATATATTTTTAGGACGTACTTTTTTCATCTTTTAAAAAGTATTGTGGGAGAGAGAAACTATGTTTTAGTATTATTTATGTAAATTATTTTTTTAAGACTGTGGGGTGTGACATCGGCAACTGGATCAAAAGGCTGAGGTGGCTTGAGTGCCGATCGACACCACCACCCCTCTTGTTCAGCTAATTTCCCAAGCGGCTTGCTTTCTTCTGCCTCCCCCTATCAATGCGCTCGGCATCCCCATATGCGATGACACTGCGAGTTCCTTGATTAGGTACTCGTTGAAGCACCGAGGTGGCTAGTAAGGAGACGACGATCACAAGCTCACGCCTAAATATCATATTCATCAATTTTGATCCTTCAAGTTTCAAGTATCTCCATCTAATTAGGTCTAACTATTCAATAGTTTGTACGCTCTTCTTTTTTTAAAAAAACGCAATTTGCTTTCTTTTTAAAAATATTCTAAAATTTTCATCTCAATTTTTTAAAAAACAACAAGAGAGTTTACAAGAAAAAGAGAATTGAATAATCATTCTATACGATAAGACATAAAACCAACTTCCTTAGCCACAAGATGAGTAGTATGATTCAGAAATATCTTAACAAAACTAATAAAGCTCAATCTGTTGAAAAAAATATAGTTTCTTTAGTTTTTGAAATAGTGAGCCCCAAAGTCAAATTAAAGGAGCCAACTCAAGGCGTCTTTTTTTCCTTTTCTAACTAAACAAGAAGAATGTTTTTCATCTCATTTTATTCCTTGAACCAAACACACCGATAGTGTCCAAAGTAAAGTAGAAAAAAATGCTAAAACCCTCCATTCTTACTACCAACCATGCCCCCCTACATAAACGTGTGGTAGGGAAGCAAAAAAATTAAAATTAGAGGGTGGGTGGAGAATGGATAGAGATAAATATGTGGTGGAGAAGTGAGTGGATGCAAGGTTGGTAGCAAGCGTGGAGTGTGTAGAGTGTAGGAAGAAAATGGTGTAGCCCTGTCATTTTACAAACGCCGTATTACCCGGCCAAAGCAAGACCCACAGAAACTTTGTGGGACCCTTAGAACCCATTTTTTCTTCATCTTCTTCACAAAGACTACTTTACCATAAACTCAAAATCAGATCATATTACTCTCCTCTACGGTATTTAATACTCCACATTTATTTACGGAGCCCTACTTGCTGTGTTTATTTCTTACTAATCAGAACAACAAAACAAAGTGTAAAGAAATGGAGTCATCTGCAAAGAAGCTTAGATCTATCATTAACTCACCTGGAGTCCATCTTCTTCCTGCTGCTTTCGATGTTCTCAGTGCTAAGCTCATAGAAAGAGCTGGATTCTCCTGTGCTTTCACCAGTGGTACTTGATAAAAAATCACTTCTTTTGGTTTCGGGTTTATGTATTTTCAACTGTTTAGTGATGGGTCATTGTTTGATTCTTATGATTTTGCGCATGATTTCTGTTCTAGTGTTGATGATTCTGAAAATCTGGGTTTCTATTTGATCAGGGCTTGCATCTTCAGTGCCTATTAACTGATCAGATAGATTAATTACCCTATGATGGTTTTAATTTTGGTGGACAGTTTTTAGGCTGATTGGACTAAGGAAAGAGCTCTTATATATTATACATATGTGTTTATTGTACATTCTCCATATGCACATTTACAAGTTTCAAATGTTCATTTTGCACATTTGTGAAAATGATGTGTGCACAATTAATACAGAAGGGTTCCCATGACATTAGTCCCAATTGGGGCCTCTACGGTGTCCCGTTGTAAAATTTACGGTTTCTACCTCAACTAACTATCTCACCCTATTCAATTGCACCCCCAAGTTTTTTTTTACTTTGGAGTTTAATTTTTGACTCCAAAGTCAAATAAACTTGAGGGGGTGCAATTTAAAGGGATGGGGTTGGGTTCGGGGTGGGGTGGGAAGGTTTACCGGGTTAGAAACTATAAATTTTACAAATGGACATCGTAGGGCCCCCGGGTCATCCCATGGCATTGCTAAGCAATGTCAATGCAACCACCCCCAATTAATGATTGCATAATGCTCGTTTAGTTGTTTAGAGAACTATTCATTTCGTTTCTAATAACACATCCGAGTTGTGAAAAGATAAAAACAAAATCTTAAAGAGATAATTGATGCACATTATAAAATGAGTGTATGCGCATTTACTAGTTACATAATGTTCATTGGATGTACAGGAAAGTGGGTATCACCCGGATGTATTAGGGAATTGATTTTGTTTAATGTGGGTTGGGTTTGATTGTTTTAGGGTTCTCGATATCGGCCTCTCGATTGGGAATGCCGGACACGGGCCTCATTTCGTATGGAGAAATGATTGATGTGGCACGAACAATTACAGAGGCGGTTTCTATTCCGGTCATTGCTGATGGTGACAATGGATATGGGAATGCATTGAATGTGAAGAGGACTATTAGGGGATTTATCCAATCTGGCATTGCCGGGATACTTCTCGAAGACCAGGTTTATATATAAAGTTCTTGTAACACCTTAATCTGTATAGTTTTGGGCTTTACAAATTATTGTGTTATTGTTCCAGACTTGATCAACCATGGTTATTGAGTAAGTTGGAATGACGTCTTTGGAATTTACGTTAAGTAGAGAGAAATAATATGACCAACACATTTTTTACCTTAAAAAGAAAGTAAAACCTTGTTTGGAAAAACCAACATTCTTATAGGGAAATGTAGAACCTTTTTCTTAGACAGAGAGAGTAGTAATTAATAAACTCTGTGTATTTACTATTTAGGAAACTATGGCAACCTTGTGCACTGAATGGGTTGAAACTTGAAAGCATGAAACTTTATGTTTTTATTTTTTAAAAATGTCTTTGTAAGTGTTTCTTTGCATTCTTTTACGAGCCAGGAATATTTTGGAAACAGTCTTTTTACCACTTTCGGTAGAAGTCAGTCTTCTGCATACCCGTCTCTGGACCCCACGTGTGGGAGTGTGGGACTCTACTTGTTATTTTGTACTTTCAGCTCTGCAGGCTAAAGTGGTAATGGATATTGTGGTTACTACTTACTACTTGGTAGGTGTCTCCTAAAGCTTGTGGGCATACAAAAGGAAGGAAGGTCGTCTCGAGGGAGGAGGCAATAATGAGGGTAAAAGCAGCTTGCGATGCTCGCGATGAGAGTGGAGGTGACCTTTTCATTGTGGCTAGAACTGATTCTCGTCAAGCCATATCTTTGGAAGAAGCACTCTGGAGGGTCAAAGCTTTTGCAGAAGCCGGAGCCGATGCGCTCTTCATTGATGCCCTCTCTTCAGTTGAAGAAATGAAGGCTTTCTGTGCTGTTGCTCCCGGAGTTCCAAAATTGGTACCCCACCCCTCTCATTTTTTCTTAAAAGAAATGAATGCCCTTCTAGCCAACTTATTTCTTGTTTTTCTTTAGTTTGTATGACTTTATATTTTTTGTTTTTGCAGGCTAATATGCTTGAGGGTGGAGGAAAAACTCCGATACTCAGCCCTAGCGAGCTTGGGGAGATCGGGTACAAATTTGTGGTCTACCCTCTCTCCTTGATGGCAGTGTCTATGCGAGCAATGCAGGTCACACACAGGAAACCCGTTTTGTTACATGCTTAAAATAAATATTCCATTCGTCTCTTAATTAAAGTAACTCTTGGACTTCACGAAGTCTAACAAAAGCATTGAAAAAATAAAGAGTGGATGGATAGTTTTTGTTTTGAGAAGAGATAAGTATTATGAGTCACATATTCTTTTTCCTTAAAGGAAATGCAAGAAGTGTGAATTTAGCTTTGGGACGCTGAAAATGATAATACGGAGTACTTTTTTTTCTTTCTTTTTTTTTGCAGAATGCATTGGTTTCTCTTAAAGATGGTAAACTCCCGGCACCGGAAACCATGCCATCTTTTGAAGAGATCAAGGACATTGTCGGTTTCAACGACTACTACAAAGAAGAGGAACATTATGCCTCTGGTTCGTACTAACAACTGCTAACAACTGCTTTCTCTACTTCTTTTTTCTCCTTTTTTTTTCGCGTTCGCATATTGCTCCACATTTTACACTTCATTGATGGAATTTGGATCAACTGAAGACATTTTTTTTCAGTTAGTTCAGTCCAACTGATAAATTGGCTTAGTCCCACAAAGGGGAAAAACTTTGTTGTTTTAAGTACTGCAATAAAATAGTAAATGGGAAAGAGGCTATATGCCACCAAGTATTGTGTGTTTTTTTATCAGTTATACTCCAAAGACATTATGAATAAAATATGAGTAGTAAACTGGGATGCCATTATTGACTTTGTTTAATAGTCATGTGTTGTTTTTCTCCCCCTTCACCCCTTTTCAAACCACATATTCTTAGAAAATACCGGAGTAACTACTTCATTTCTAATCTAATTTGTTTTTTGGCCAGTTTTTGAATTGATTTTCGTGTACTCCTATTCAAATAATATAAAACCCCTTCCATCTCCAATTTATCTTCCACTTTCTTTTTTGGGTAATCCTAAAACAAACTTCTCATTCCCTAACTGAAATGGAATACGTGGTCAATATTCTCCTCTCTCCATAAATCTCAAACCAATAATTTCACCATTTTATAAATTATGAGAAAAAATAAATGAGAAGATTAATTTGAAAAAAATTAAATACTTTGCACTCCCTATTATATTAATGAAATCTCTAATCATCAAGTGTAATGATTCATTGATGTAATGATGTGTGAAGTGACATTTCTTTTTTTCAAAAAAAAAAGAGATGAGCTTCATCCTTACATTTCTTTTTTCTGATTATACCGAGTAGATTTTTTTATTGGACCGTGCTACAGTGCACCCACCAATGCCTCCTTTGCTGCCTCCCTATTTAAGGTATTTTTTTTACCTTTTCTCCTTTTTTTCTCCTTTCCTCTATGTTGCTCTGGATATGCTCTTCCGCGGCAGTGACCGGCTCTCTTCTCCCTTTCATGCGCTCTCCTTCTTACAAGCCGGCAGGTAATCTCTTCTTTTTCTTATCTTCCTCTTCATATCTCTAATGCGCCAACCCCTGTAGCACGACAATTCCTTTGTCAATCTCTTCTCTTCATTCCATTTTTAGTCAATTTTGATGGCAATAATATTTTGAATTTTTGTAGAGTACATAGGATATTTGGTGATTATGGACTTACAAACATCTATTGTTACAAATGTTGAGAATGAGCAACCACATGATTTTGGTGGTGAAGAAGAAGACCTGATTTTATATGAGTTGCAGCCCAGTTGTAAGTGTTGATATTTAGACCACATTCTATATTCATTTGAAGTAGTGAAAAAAAATTGTTTTGTTTTCGTGTTACAGAGATTAAAGTTCTGTGAATCTAGGGTTTGTCCTTGTCACAGACGCTAATTATCTGTATGAACTCTGCATTTGGTGTATTATTGTTTTCTTCATAGTCAGGTATTTTATTATATTAAAGGTACTGTTTTTTGCAGCTTTTGAACCAGATTTTTTTCTAAACGATCCTTGCTTTCAGTATTTATTTAACGACAAAGGGCAAGAACAGGCGAGTGGTGAGATTAGACAAAAAAAAATGACATTAACAATGATGTCCGGAACAATGGTCAATGTCCTTCTAAAGGAAACAAAGGTAGCGTGCCTGAAGTGGGGATGAAGTTTACAAGCATTGAAGAAATTCGAGAACACTATCTGGCTTATGCTCGAAGTGTAGGATTTCCAATGCGGACTAGGACAACTCGCAAAGCCAAAGATGAAACTCCTAGAAGTGTTACATTTGTGTGTAGTCAACAAGGAAATAAAAAGAGCAAAACACAAGATGTGTTCCACCCTTTTTGCTTTTTGCTTTTTGTGTAAAGTATGTAACAAGTATGATAACTTTCTCTGAGTTCCCTGCACATAAACTAATGTAAACCTGATGTAACTCTGTTTTCACATACATTAAGTCTCTGTGAAGTCTGTGACATAGACAGTTATTCCATGTGAACACCAAGAAATCTAATGTATGCGTTTTAACTTTGTTTTTAGCTATACAAGACCCCCAGATATGTGATGAGATTCTGAAGATGGTGTATGTGCATAACGTTAAGTAACTCTGTCTTCACATACATTAAAACTCTGTGTAATGGGTAAAACAGACAGTTAATCTCTGGGAGGGATCTGAAAGTAAATCTGTAATTCAATCATAAACTAAGGTAAATCATTCATCACACACAGTAACAGATTGTGCATTATCAAGTAGAAATTCATGATGATAAAAGCCCCATTACAAAAAAATCAAAAAAATCTAAAGTGCATAACATTATGTAACTCTGTCACATACGTTGAAGCTCTGTGTAACAGGTAAAATAGACGGTTATTCTCTGTGAGGGCTCTGAAAGTAAATTTGTAATTCAGTCATAAACTAAGGTAAATCATTCATAACACACAGTAACAGATTGTTCATTAACAAGTAGAAATTCATGATGCTAAAAGCCCCATTACAAAGCTTTCAAAAAAATCTAAAGTGTTTCCCCAAAAAATACATTACAAAACACAAAAACCATTACAAAGAGTTTCACAAAAATTAAAGATCCCTAAAATTGTAAATTAAATATTGGTTGTTTTCCTTCCACGCCATAACCTAGCTGCAAATTGACATCGGAAATCAGCCATGTGTTCAGAACTGCAGTTCGGGCTTAATGGTAAGGCTAGCAACAAATACTCTAGAAATGCTAGCACCATCACTCCACAATTGTCATACCTGTAAGGGAAAATAGTATTAAAATAACAAGCAAACCTCTTTCACAAACAATAATGTTTTATGAAGTTCAATAAACAGAAGTTAATCGTATATGAGATACAATTCACAGAAAGCAAGCAAAAATAACAAGCAGACCTCTTTCACAGACAATAATGTTATATGAAGTTTAAATAACAGAACTTAACCATCTATGCCATACAATTCGCACAGTAAGCAGAAATAACAAGCAAACCTATTTCACAGAGTCCAATAACAAGTGGGGTACATGCTAAGGACCATGCTACATTTACACCAAAAAATGTACATATAGCTTAATCCAAAATTTAAAGTGTTTCCCCAAAAAAATACATTACTTGTTCGGAGGGGTGGGGCTGCCGGCGCTGGAGCTGGAGGGGTGGGCCTGCCGACGCTGGAGCTAGAGGGGTGGGGCTGCCGGCGCTGCTATGCTCTCGACGGAGAATAAGGACGTGGAATTGGAGTTGTCCGAATTCTGTCGCTTGTGGAGGTTGAAGTGAGAGAAGGGAGATTTGGGAATTTTGGGGAAGAAGGTGGAGAGGAAAAGACTAAGAAAAAAGGAAAATTAAAAGAAAAATTAAATATATTGGGTGGCATGCTTGGAGGCACATGTGGTGCCTCTTTAGCATTCTCCTTTTTTATTTAATTCGTATAGTAGTCCATTCCTCGATCAAATTCATTTGGTGCGGAGAACGGCGGAATTATTCCTAGGGAAGTAGAAGCCAACTAGACGGAACAAGCGTTCCGTGTGGAGGTCTTCATGTTCGATAAGAGTGTCGCCCTTCATCTCCTCAAGAGCTTTCTTGGCCCGGAACCTTTGGAGAAAGGAGTCCGCAATAGGTCAGAACGCAACACCACGGAGGGAAGGTCTAAATGGCTATGGTTCGGAAATTATATGACAATACCTTTTCGACCATTTCTCGATCTTTAGCACCTTGAAGATAGGGTGTTGTTGGTTTGGGTACATGCTGAAGTGGGGGAAAGAGCCACCAAGGCTAAATATTTAGGTGGGGGGTGTTTGCCGGGCGGGTTAGGAGTGGTAAGAACCCTCAATTTTACGATCGGAGCCCCGTAGGTACTCCGATTGGAGTTGTTATCATATTATGACATTATTTTTTGTTGTCAAAAGAAGAGAGATGATATTAAGAGCCCCCTTCTTTTGACAACAAGGGGTGGTGTTGTCATAATATGACAACACCTCCAATCGGAGTACCTATGGGGCAAACCCCCCTAACCCCCAGCAAATCCCCCTAAATATTAAAAAAAATAATCCCTCCGTTTCAAAGTGTTTACAATATTTCAAATGTGTAAGATATCATCTTCATTATAATCACTGTAGGTACCATCAATTTTATGATCACCGTAAATATGTGCAAAATATCATCTTCTTTCAATAATAACAAAATACTCCCTCCAATCGGAGTATCTACACTAGAAATCATAAATTTTACGATCGGAGCCCCGCATGTACTCTGAACGGAGAAGTTCTCACACCCCTTGTTGTCAAAAGAAGGCTCTTAATATCATCTCTCTTCTTTTGACAACAAAAAATAATGTCATAATATGACAACAACTCCAATCGGAGTACCTACGGGGCTCCGATCGTAAAATTTATTGTTCCTACCCCCTAACTCCCAGCAAACACCCACCTAAATATATAGAACAACGATATTTTATTATCAAGTTATGAATTGTATAAAAAATTACGAACAAAATAGAGGTTCCCGTAGATAAAATAATGAATGATTTCATATTAAAAATTTACATTAAATTTGTTAACTCCATTTTCTCTTCGTGGGCGTGGCCATAGTGCCCCTGTCACGCACCTCACTCACGCAGAAGGAGATCAGTATTCGTGGTGATCACATGGTAACATGTGCGCCTTTATTTCCTCAGTATAATGCTAGAGTAATAGTTTATACAGACACAACATGTTAGTGTAATTTTTTGTTAATGTACCAGTATTTTGTGTCAGTGTAAAATATCAAAATGTTCGTGTATACCTTTAATATACTTTTGGGGTACACTTTTTGGTATAAGTGTAGCATGGTTGTTCCAATTTAACTCACACCAGCATCTCCAACCTTGCTTAGGATATTGTCTTGCTATTTTTACATTTTAGTAAGTGAATAATAATATAGCAAGCAACTTTTTTGTTTAATTCTTCAACCATGGCTTGTGATGGTGTAAAATACCGGGCAAATATTAAGTATAAATGAGCGGAAGGGTTGTAGGTAGAAACACCTGTAACCCGGTTTGTTATTAATGATGTTGGGACTGATTACAGAGTACAAGCCGTGCAGGTTAATTAGAACATGCCTCGCAAATGAGGCTTTTAGTCCTATTTATAATAATCTCTAAGCACGTCTCTGCTTTTCTAGCCGGTCAGTCTTCCACCAGTCAGTTTTTCAAGGTTGAGCTTGTGAAATTGAAGCTAATGTTATGCCCCTTGTTCAAGAGAAAGCGAGGACTTTCTTTTAGCTACCAAAAAGGGATTAGCCTCTTGATCGATCGATTGATTGGATCGAAGTACGAAGGGGTTGATTGAAGTGTGAGATCAGCCCAAGACTAAGGCTGAGCAACTAGCTGCTACAGGATTGGACATCTATCTATCTCACCAAGGCCGGCGGAAGGAATGCTCTACTCATCTTTCTTACGGCTCATTACCATAGCGCTCGAAAACCCCTTCGGCTTCTTCCATTCAAAAATCCTATTCTTATTGGTAAATAACGTCTTGTATGCCTTCGCCAGACAAAGCCATGTATGTGATTTCGGATCTTCTCTCCCCTGACTGGTCAGACTGCCCGGGTCGGCCGGGTCATAGGGCGTTGGATTTGATACCTCCCGGTCGGTACGAACATACCGGGTGGAATCCATGAGTTATTACCCATCAAGAAGTCCTCCGATTCCCAGCTCTGTGGGTACCATCAGGGTCGGGAAGCAAATGCGAGCTTTTTTTCTCATTTCAACTCCCTGAGCGGTTTTGGCGGGAAAATGGCACTAGTAAACCGGCGCCAAAACTAATATTTTGAATTTTGAATTTTAAATTTCGAAATCCCGGGCGTCAAACGCGGGGGAATCTTTATTAGAATTCGGTACGGTGCCGCCGATTTGTTGCACCGTTTCGCCTTCTCGAGAAGTTATCATTACGAATCATTTCGACTGCCACGAGTTGCTCCCCCATTCGTCCAGCTGGGCGGCACCACCCCTATATAAAGCGAGGTTCCCCACCGAATTTTCTCACTTGAAATTTGCCATCTAAAAATCTGCCTGATTGCTTCCAATATCTCTCGAGTCCTCCGAGTCTTCTAGTCTCAAGTAAGTTTCCTTTTTCTCTCCTTGTTTCTTTGAGTCATGTCTGACCACGAGGATAGCCAGAACCCTTCCGTTCATTCTTATGGTTCTGGTGCCTGGTCTTGGACCTCCAGTTCCCAATCCTCTTCATCTTTTGGGCGCCCAGCTGCTTCTCCACAGAAGAAGCTGGTTGATGCTTCCACCTGTGCCTCTTCTTCTTCCGCGGAACAAGTGGTCTCGGTTGCTCGGTCTGTGGATGAGGGCTTCATTCTGTTGGATGACAGGTTGCTCTTGGAGCAACTGTCGTACATGCAGATGGCTCAAGTCCACGAGCTGCACAATCTAATGCCCGATGGTTACCAGTTGTCCTACCGGACAATGTGGAAGAATATTATTTCTCTCTACGTCGAAAGTGTGTTGAGTGCCTGATTACTTTAAACGATTTGTGCAACTTTAAATTCATCGCCGGGTAGATTATCTTTAAACAGCCCAGCTGTAGCTACCCGGTCTAAATTCAAAATTAACCCAAGTCTTTTCGGGAGACTGACTAGGTGACCGGGGAGAAATATGGTCCGACCGATTTCTTCCCCAAATGGTTTTCGACCCGAGTGACGGCGGTTTACCATGTCCTTTCTGAAAAGGGTGGTTTTCTGCCCGAGTGTGAGCAAAGCCGGCTTATCTTTCACATTGGCTTTCCGCCCATGTTGAAAGATAAGCCTTGCATTTTTGATCGTTTGACCAAACCAAGCCGAGATGCTCTCCCTTTTTGGTTATGTCATTTGATTCTGTGTCAGTACGGATAAAGAGCTTGACCGGTTCGACTGGTCGTTCCTTCTTTTTTTTCTTTTTTTGGATGTTCAATTCGATTGAACATCTAACCGGTCAGGTTGGTTAGTGACCAATTCCTGACTAGTATTAAAAACAACCTTTCTGAAAAGACTAACGTTTTTATTTATGCCCGGGAACATATTACACTCATCTATAAATCACATACATGGCTTTCTCTGGCGAAGGCATACAAACTGACCGGTGGAAACTGACCGGCCAGAAAAGCAGAGACGTGCTTGACGTGCTTAGAGATTATTATAAATAGGACTAAAAGCCTCATTTGCGAGGCATGTTCTAATTAACCTGCACGGCTTGTACTCTGTAATCAGTCCCAACATCATTAATAACAAACTGGGTTACCGGTGTTTCCACCTACAACCCTTCCGCTCATTTATACTTAATATTTGCACGGTATTTTACACCATCAGTTTGCTAATCCATTATATAACTCCTGTCTTGCTATAATTTGGAAAGCTTGTTATATTTAGCAAGCCAAACTTATTTTTCGCAAACTTGCTTCATTAAAGTATACCCATGAAGTTTGACTGTATAAATAATAAACTAGCAACTTAATTTGGGACGGATAGAAATATCTTTTAAACTCTGTATTTCTTATAGACCATGAGGCCATGTTTTCTTCATTTGATCTCAATTGTTCTGATCTGAATCGAATAAGCTTTAATATGTTCTGATCTGATTGTAGTTATATGCAAAGTTGTTTATGTTCTGGTGTACTCTGGTCTGATATGTTTCCAATAAGAAAAAGTAATACTCCATTCGTCCCCCATAGATATTCCCATTAGCCCTTTTTATTTGTCCACAATAGATATTCTCATTACCTTTTTTAATCATTAAAATACCACAACTACCCTAACTTACTTTATTTATTACACCTTACACACCTCATTTAATACACTCCACCCATTTTCATTAAGGGTATTATGGTAAACTTTCACCTTTTTTCAACATTTCTTAAGAACTACAAAAAGTCAAAATGAAAAGATCTTAGGGGACGGAGGGAGTAAGTAATAATAATAAGTTAGAGAGAACATGATCTTAGTGGTCTTGGACAAAGTCCAACACTTTCTTCGTGTCATTTACCTATTGTTTATGAGAGATAAAATTAGAGTGGAAAGAAAATTAGGGTTGTGTTAATGTATTCCTAATATCCTCATTTATGTGCACATTCTTTCATATTTTTCAACAATAATTTTTAGGAAATTCTCAACAAGCTCTGGGAAAGACCGTTCTGACACCTCTTTCAGGGAACATTATTGAGAAAAATCTTGAGAGCGTTCCAAAAACGCAACCTTCCCAAAATTCAAATGGAAGGTCGTGCACCATGAAGGGTCGACGAGGTGAGAGACAAACCGAGCATGGACACCGACGGAGGAGGAAACAATTGTTCGGGCGTGTTGAACTTAACGTTTCAGAAGACTCGACTAAATGTTATTTTCTTCCCCCAAATAATTTTTTAAAGAAATTTTTGTGTTCTTTTTGTAACAAATTTCCCCCCCAAGTAATTTTACTTATAATTTTTTTATTTCACGATTAGAGACAACCCAAAACGCAAAGGGCTTTTGTAGTAGAGTTACCACTAAATTCTACATCATTATGAACACGGAGCTCTACCATGACGTCGACGCCATCTACTCGAGTTACAGCAACTTGAATGCAAAAGTCTTGAAGTTTGCCAGTATATACAACTTCACCGCCCTCACTCGTCAAAGCGAGGTGAGTGATAAGGACTTTTTTAAAAAGGCATTGTTCGAGTACCAAGCCCAATGTAAAAGTATGAAAGTGTTTGAGATATTGACTAGACACCTGAAGTTGGCTCTAGTGTCGAATGAGGTCTTGCGGACGAAATAGACAAAGACATCGGAGTCTAGGGGGATATAGTACGGAGCCCCAAGGGGTCTGGCGTTCATTGGACCTTAGCATGGTTGAGTGATGACGATGACAATATTCTGACATCTATTGAGCCAACATGGCTCGTTGGCAAGGAGAAAGCGAAAATGGCACCATCGCCAATGGCACATGGGCCCCAAGGGTCAATTATCGACGAACTGATCTCCACCATGGCCACCTTCAACAAAGTGCAGTGGAACTATATTCGGCTTAAGAGTAAAGCTGCAGACGAGGCCCTTTCGGCTAGAGTGCAAGGATAATGAGTTAAAAGAGTACGAGATTCTGATGGTGAGTGTTGATCATTTGCTACCTGTAAAGCGTGCAGCAGTTCTAAAAATGAAGGACAAAATTAATAGGAAATAGCTAGGAAGTGCGGCGGGCAACTTGGACAGTGATTTTTTATTTTTTAATCAAATATTCCCTTCGTCCCCAAAAAAAGCCTCCCAATTGGGTTTTGCACAAAGTTTAAGAAAAATAAAATTGTGTGATTGAAAATGGTGCAGAAGAGAGAGAAAAATGTTGGGTTATACAAAAATTTGCCAAAAACTAAAAGATAGAGAAAAATGTTGGGTTATTTTTTCAATCGAGCACTTATATTTTTTCATCATCTCTTGCTCTTTTTTTTGTATTATGTCAATGTAATTTTGAATTGATTTTTTCTGCATTATTTCTTGAGTTATTTTGATTTATTTTTTAAAAAATAAACAAAATTAGGCGTAATCCACACACTTATCTGCTGATGAGCTTTAATGGGAATGTGACACTAAATGGGATGACATGATTGGCTTGTTAGAATAACCCTAAATTATAGCATCTCATTTATACTTCATCACTCTTTACATGATATATATATTTTTTTATCTATATTCTAATCTTCTTATCTACCTTCAAAATTATGTAATCTAAGACTTTAGTTCATACTTAGGGTCTATTTTTGGTGTAGGCTTTCAATACGATATACACCCTTTGAAAAAAGGGTGAGCCCATTCATGGGAGTTCTCTCAGACTCGGTCGCGTATTTACAGAAGTCATACGCTTAGCATAACTATTTTCCAACAGTTGTCTGAAATCAAACTCTGTTCCTAACCTTTTGATGATATTAGTTGTTTTTGCTAACTAGGCAAAGCCCGCCGCCAATATATACCTTTGAGTCTTTGCCTAGAATAAAAGAGATGCTTTGCCAAATGTTTGGATTTGATTGAATAAAAATACATGTTGACTAGACGTGTAGGGAGTACTATGATTCGTAACAACAATGGAAGGAGTGCAATTGTGTAATAAATGTAAAGTGAGGGTTCCGAAATATAAATAAATACAAAGAGCGGATAAATTCTAGAACTCCGTCGGCTGTTTGCAGGCCTCATTTCCCCGGCGGGATGCTCTGTTCATTCTTGAAAAAGTTCAGTGGGTCGGCCGCCTTCTTCACCTTCACCAATCGGTCGAAGTTCTCGTTGAAGTACATCTCCCCGTACACCTTGGCCTTGTTGTACCGGTCGAGCCCGTTGTCGGTGACGCCGATGTCCAGATCCCGGTAGTTCAGGTACGCCTGCCTCGGGTTCTGGGTCACGAACGGGGTCATGTAAGCGTGGAGATCCTTGGCTTGGTCCAGCAACTGGGTCGAACTCCCGTCGTCTTTCTCCGCCCACGACAAGGAGTATTGGATCTTGAATAGGATTCCGGCGCGGTGGGGGAACGGCGTCCCGGTGTTTGGGATTTTGGTGAAATACCCGTCGCCGCCGTAGGAGTTGAACACCAGCCCCACTTTTCCGGCGGCCAGTTTGGTCCACAGGCCATCGAGTCCGGATTTGGGGATGGGATTGCTCACGTAGTCGGATTTCCTCTTCCCGAACTTCAGGGGATCGGATTCTCTGCTCAGGAGGAACTCGGGTTTTGTGGCGTTGTAATCGTGATTGTCCCATTGAAGAACGGATTGGATCCAGGTCATCTCGATGAAATCGGCGGGTTTCAGTTGCAGAGACGGGAATTTCTTGCCGGTGATTTTCTCCAGATCCGCCTTGCCGCCGAGGAATAAACCGATGGCGGTGACTTTCACGGTCTTTGAACTCTTCTGCGTGTTGGGCTGGAGAAGGAGGCGGACGAAAAGCCGGCTGTCCATGGTTGTGACGGCGTCCTGGAACTCCGTGACGACGGCGGTCGAGTTTCCGGGCCCGATCTTCTCGACCCGGAAGTACGTTACTTTCTCCGGCACCCGGACGAGTTGGATTTTGAACGCTAAGACGACTCCGAAACTGGCGCCGCCGCCGCCGCGGATCGCCCAGAAGAGATCCTCCCCCATGGCGGCCCTGTCCAGAATCCTCCCGTTGACGTCGACGATACGCGCGTCCACCACGTGGTCCACGCTCAGCCCGTAGTGCCGGAGCATGTTCCCGTATCCGGCGCCGCTGATATGGCCGCCGACGCCGACGGTGCGGCAAACCCCTGCCGGGAACCCGTGGGTCCCGCTCTTCTCGTAGATCCGGTAGTAGAGCTCGCCGAGAGTCGCGCCGGCCTGGACCCAAGCCGACTCCGTCCCGATATCCACCGCGATATCCCGGAGATTAAACATGTCCAGGATCACGAACTGAGCCCGGGAGACGTACGAAAGCCCCTCGTAGTCGTGGCCTCCGCTCCGGGTTCTGAGCTCGAGGCCGGACTTGACGGCGCACAGGACCACCGCAGGGACCTGGTACTCCGTCAAGACCGTCACGATGACGGCCGGCTTCGGCGTGGCGGTGGTGTTGTACCGGAGATTCCTCACGTACTCCTCCAAAACCGGCTTGAATTGGGCATCGTCCGGCCGATACACAATATGAGAGATTTGGTCCCGCGGGATTGGGCTATAATTGCCATTATTTGCAGTGGAGAGGCACTTGACAAATTGGGTTACTTTATCATTATCATTAATATTGCTAATATTATCCATGGCTGCAGAAGAAGAACAGCTTAGAGAATAAGAAGAAGAAGTAGAAAGGAAGAAATGGAGAAAGAGCCAAAACGAAAAAATCTTCATTTTATCATATGATTTGCTTATAATTTCGTGTTTTTTGGGGTTTTCAAGGATAACCCGTGTATTTATAGAGAATAATAGTCAACAAACGAGAAAAGAAGGAGCAGTTTAATTGCGTGAGCTATGGCAAAAAGGTCTTTTTTTATCCTTATTTATGGTAAAATGTTCCCGGAACAAATGGCGCGTGGTATATTGTCGGCCTTAAAAAGCATATAAGTCAATGTTTGGGGGGGGGGNCTACTCGAATTAATTTTTCCATTGTGAATTCATGAACATTAATGTCAAGATAAATTCTAAATGCAAGAAATAAGGAAGTTGTTTGGCACTTCAAAAAAATTATCTTATTTTCAAATCATTTTATATAAATTATAAGAAATTTATATAAATTACTACCTCCGTCCCATTTTATAACGTCTGTTTCGGTTTACGATGTTTGACTAAAATTATTTTCAAATCATTTTATATGACAAATGGTATAGAATTAAAAAATAAAAATTACATATTAAAAAACTACATCAAAAGATCTACAAAACTAGTAGTGACAATAATATTTTATTTTATCAAATTGCTAACGAAAATAGAGAAAGAAAGTAAATGAAGTTTGACCCTGTGAATAGTAAACAGGCATTATAATTTGGGACGGAGGGAGTATAAGAAACGATGTGGAATTAAAAAATAAAAGTCATACTTCATCTTTTTCCACAATGAAATACACTCTTTACTATTTAAAAATTGTGAAAACTTTTGTTTGTTTGTATGTTTTTATTGATTATTTCATAAGATAAAATATTCTTGTCACATCTTATTTGTAGTATATATTCTTTAAATATACAAGTTGAGTTAGGGGTCTCATGGAAACAACCTCTCTACTTTTGGGTAGGGGCAATGTCAGCGTACACACACCCTTCCCAGATCCTACCTTTGTGGGATCCAACTAGATTGTTGTTGTCATGTTTTTTTAAATATACAAGTTTTATTACTTATTTCATTACCAAATTTTAATAAAATCAATTAAAAAACTTGAAATTTTACTTCATTTTAAAAAATGAATTAAAAATATAAGACTTATTTTTTTTACTATTTACTCCGTATAAACAACTTATAAATCATTTATAAGTATAGAAAAACACATCAGCAACTGATTTATAAGTTAAATACAATTTTATAAATAATTTTGACCAATTACTGTAGAATCATTTATTAATTAATCAGTCTTAAAAAAAGGTTGAAAAAATAAAAGTGAATGGATAGGACTCTATCATTAGGGTGTAAACGGATATTAATCGGATTATACTGTAGATTATACTTTTTTTCTTTCCTTTCAATAACTTTTACTCCGTATTTATTTGTGTTTTTTATTTATTATTTGGTAAAATAAAATAGTCTTGTCACATCTCGGTTTTTAAACTTTTGATATCATTTTATGATATATAATTTTATTTTTTATTGACATACAAATTTATAAATAAAATTATCTCAAAAGATTGCAATCAAATATCCTAAATTTATCCATATATTGAATGCGAGTCTTACGTTTAGAAATAAATAAGGCTCCAAAATCAGTTTTCTAGAGTTAGATCCAGTCTTAACTATTTTTACGTTTTTTTTTACTGCGATCAGTTTTACTTATTTACCTTAACAATTAAGGAAATTGAGAGTAACTTTGTCGCAATGCGTGTGAACATTTGGAAATGTGCTTTAAAAAATTTTGAATATGATTCCCTAACATATGAGACATCGCCGCAAGGTTACGTGCTATTCCATCTCATGTGCATTTTTGACCAAACAAAGGGGATAAATTACTATAAAAATACTTTTACAAGATATGATTGTTATATTTATATTATTTTGTAGAAAATATTAGAAGGAAAGAAATATACTGTTATTGTGTTGGGATTACAATAATCTTCCCTTGCTTATATAGAGAAGAAAAACCTCCAAGTCCTACTAGGAAAATAATATTACAAACAAGGAAACCCAACCATGTTAGGAAACAAACACAAGTTTGGAAACCAAGTCTCAATTGCTTGCGCTACACGCCACATGTATAGCTCTCACAAGCGAACATCCCTCCTCAAACAGGAGCATTGGAATTCTGCGGGCCTAGCTTGGACAGTAAATGAGGGAACAGAGCAGCACCAAGCGGCTTGGTGAAGATGTCAGATGGTTGATCATCTAAAGAAACGTGAAAGGTATGAAAGATGTTGCATTAGATTTTGTCTCGAACAAAATGACAATCAGTCTCAATATATTTGGTACGCTCATGAAAAACATGATTAACAAAAATATGTAAAGCGACCTGATTGTCACAGAATAAGGTCATGGGCGTTGAATGCCCCACACCAAGTGGCCCGAGGAGGGATCGTAGCCATTTGACCTCGCAAACCGTAGTTGCCATTGCCCGATACTCAGCTTCTGCGAAGGAACGGGACACCGCCTTTTGCTTTTTCGTGCACCATGAGATGGGGGAATCTCCTAACTGAATGAAGTTGATGGATACCCTGGAATGGGGGTATCCGGCCCAATGGAAATAGCGGCCCAACCCAGCCAAGCCTAGGCCCACCTAGCTGGGCGGAAGTGAGAACAAACTGAAGTCTCAAGAAGGCCGCTGCTGCGTCAAGATATACTCGGCCCCGGCAAACATGTTTAGCCTCGGACCACCCTCACCCGGCCTTCCGTCAGGGGACTTCACAAAGCAGATGACGTGTACTCGGCCTCGGCCTAAGATGCTAGCGGACTAGGGCCACAGACATGGGAGCTGCCTAACCAGTCAAGCCAAGGGGCCCACGATTGGACCCCTGCCACACTTATGTCAGAGTAGTTTTAGCCACCCTACTTATAACCTATTTTGTATAACCGCCCCAGGAATAATGATGTGGTGGGCGCTGCCGGTAAAAAACTAGATCTTAGTGGGCCCGATCTATTGGGCTCTGAACCAACGGTCGAAAGCCCCATATGTAGTTTGTGTATAAGTCCTTTCTTAAGAGAAAGGAAGAGGGAGGATCTCTTAAACACTAATACTTACGATCTTACTTGATTCTCAACTTGTGCACTCTCGACTCAGATCGATACTCTTTCGCCTAGTCTCTTAGGCCCCGGGTTCCTTAACCCAACATTGGTGAACTCGTTGAGAGTGTCGAACACATTAAGCGTGCTCCAAGAATGGCTGGATCAAGAAGAGTGACAAGGTCATCTGCCGCCAACGCCGGTGGCGGCCTCCGGATGACTGTGACTGCGCCTATCAGCGCGTGTCAAGACGATCTGGACGTCAGCCTCAGTTACGTCACTAGCCAAAATACCACTGACCTCCGTCACTGCATTCCCAGGCAGAGAGCGACGAACGTGGGAGGGTCCTAGCAACCCACTCAGCAGGTTCCGGTTTAGAGCGCCGGCATACTGACCCAGCCTCTCACTGGAATCGTGCGCGGGGGAGGTATGGTGCTGCCCGGTGACTTCAGCTCCCCGCTCTTTCAGTTCAGGGAGACCTCCGGCGTGAGGGCTCCTGGCTTGGACCCTAGCGGGTTCTGGGTGATGATGAGGGTGATGATGTTCAACCAGCCCGTGACTGGCTTCTAGGCGCCGGTCTCGGTGCCACAAATGACATTCCAACCCAAGGGACGACGCGAAGGCTAGCAAAATGTGGTGGAAAGCGCAGAGCTTTTTGCCCACCACTTGAAGGGTTTGATGGCGGACTCCCGTCGGAGTCCTTTGGCAAGAGAGCACGATAACAAAGGGCGAGCCGTTCCCAGCAGTGGGACAACGACAAGGCCCCAGAGCGGGGGGTGAGCAAGAAGCAAACCAGCCACCGGGACCGGGATACGACGAGTAAGCACCGTCAACCCCTGAAGGAAGGGCAAGATGAAAGTGAGTCGCATGTATCCGTGTTTAGCCGGATGCGGGTTCCCACAACAGAGCGGTTGCATGGCCGACAGAACGCTTTCACACAAGATGGGGCAGGGAAGATACAGATTGTAACACCTCAAAACATACCCTAGAATTATTAATAAATAAATAATAAATTAATCAAATTTGTTTTGATTAAAATAATTTATTGTTGGGCTTTGAGCCAAAATAATATGTGTTTGAAATCCAATATCTTAATCTAGATAAATCTCATAGAAATAAATCTAATATGTTGACTAATTGTGTAATCTTGGTTGGGAACCTGAGTACAGACCCAAAATCAGTAATAAATGAATAATGTGTTTATGATGTAAACTTTAAAATGATTTATTGAAATAAATCATGAGTATAAATAATATGAATTTAGTATGAGCACTTTTTTTAAGTAAAGGTAAAATAAATCAATTTTGACTTTGTCAAAGTCAAACACCAAAAATATAATGTCAGAAAAAGTATTACAAATAAATATATAAATTATATCGTTGGATAGAGTTTAACTGTACGATCTCAACGGTGCAAACAGATTTCAATTCGGAGAAAGTTGGACCAAAAAGTGTACCCCGACTAGGACCAAATTAGTCCCAATCAGGGGAAGACGTGTAAATTCCCAAATGCGCCGTTCACTCCACTATCGCCATTCGAACAGGAGAAGGTGACACAGAGCTTGGCTTTTTTCCTTCCCTCTCCTTCTATATAAAGGAACCCACTCCTTCTCAATTCTCCATCATTCTTCCTATTTCTTCTTCCATTTTGTTCTTAAGAGTGTGGAGAGTAGAGTGGTGCTGCCCAGAGGACTAGAGGTCGCCGGAGTTGGTATTTATCGTCGCCGGAAAATCTTCAAAACCTTCATTTACCTTCGAGATAAGCCCGTAGATATATCTAGTGACTAGAATGTTTGTATAGATCGTTTATACGTTCATAAACAGTCGTTTGCTTGAGTTTTGTGTTTGACATGTTTGAAGAACCAAGAATCATAAACCATGAAATTGTTGTTAAAACTACGAATTAATGACTCTAAAATGATCTGTGAACATTGAGGAACATTTCTATATAATTTAATTGAAGTTTGGTAATTAAAAATGATAATGTTAAAAAGTGACAATCGATTATTTCCTTCCTAATAATCGATTAGGAATTTGTTCAGATGAGGTGTTCGAAGTCCGTATATTAAAAATATATATAATCGATTATTCTAATTATAAAAATCGATTTAAATGTATTAATCTATTATTTAATAACTAAAAATGATTTTAAGGTATTAATTGATTATTTAAAATATAAAAATCGATTTTTAGGTATTAATGGATTATTTAAATTGTAAAAATCGATTATTATGAATTAATCGATTATTTAAATTGTAAAAATCGATTTTTATGGATTAATTGATTATTTTAAATTATTTTCCTCAATTCTAGATCCTGCTACGAAAATGTTCTTGAAAATATGCTCTAAAATCCTATTTTTGATACCAACTAATTATGCACAATATAAATATGATTTTTATAATAAAAATTATGTTTTTGGCATATAAAATATTATGTGATGCATGACGGTAAGTTCGGGTGTTAACACTCGAGACTAGGCCATTGTTTGTTATCAAATGTTATGTTGATTGATGATTATGATGATTATGACTTGATGAAACTACTGATTAAAATTGAAGATTAAATTATGAATTGAAATGAATATGTTGATTATTATGAAATGATTTGAATTGTAAGGATATCTAGAAGAACTCTAAGATATAGGTTGACGTTGGTTTCTAAGACTATCTAGAAGACCTCTAAGATGACTTAGAAATAGGCTTTGCGGGTATAATTATGAATATTCGGTGGCCTATGTTAAAACGTACGTACGGGATCTACAAACCAAACTAGAGGAACTCGTTTGGGGATACCACCCAACCCGACAGTGAGCATTCTGCTGTTCGGTTTCTGGATGACCTTAAACGAAGGTAAGTTTAAGATTTTGAAAACCTCTTTTTGAAAATTTTTGTCTTAAACTTGGCCTAGCTTAAGGGTTAGTTAAGAGTACCTTAAACTCGAATATAGTTTAAATATCTTAAACTAGAATTCGTTTAAGAGTTGGTAAACATCAAATAGATTGGCCTTAGACTAAGAATAGTTTAAGGATATTGTTGAATGAGGATGTTGAATGTTGAATATGAATATTGAATGACGAATGTTCAATATTGATTATTGTATATTTGAACTGAACACATTGTGCATGATATCAAATGATTTGATTATGAATTTGGATTCAATTTAAAAGGATTTTCGACGCATTAGATATGCTTACTCAGCTTTACCGCTGAGCATGTAGTATGTTTTATTTGCTACACGCAGGTTAATAGAAAGAATGATGTGACATGATTCTGGAGGCAGATGAAGGCGAGATTGTCGAAATGGATGTGATGGTTTTGAATTAAAGAACATAAATAAATTATGTTTGTAATTATGATTTGTTAAGCTTCCGCAATATTGAAAACTCCGCACTGTATATGTTACGAAAAATATTATCGTGATAAATAAATGTGTTTGAAAAGTTTTAAATTTTACGATTACCAAGTTAATATTTTAGTCCGAAAAGGGCTGCAGACCTGGACAGATTAGGGTGTTACACGGATGCCCTAGGAAGAACGTTGTGAGCGCCACCGAGACGCCCAGCCAGACAAGCCCCATCCCCAAGTCGTACAGCCCGTCTCTAGCCTGATCTTAAGGGCGCCGCAGGGGGCGCCTAGCGTGGTAAATGGGGGCGTCAGTAGACCAAGGGATGAGTGCATCGATTTCCTTCTACAAAGGATTGATGCATTGGAGAAAAGAAGCGGGCATGGATACGTAACCGAGCCCATGTTTAGACTCCGTTCTCCATTCTCTGAAACAATATTGAGAGCACCCTTGCCGGGTATCTTCCAAATGCCACCAATACTGAGGTATGATGGAACCACCAACCCGTAGGAGCATTTCAACCGGTACCACACCCTCATAAACATTGTGACGTTCTCCGAGGAAGTCCTTTGCAGGTCGTTCCTGACAACCCTCGATGGGTTGGCGTCGAAATGGTTCAACGAGCTACCCGAGGGGAAGATTGATTCTTGGGAAGATCTAGCACTGAGGTTTCTGGTACACTTCGCTCATAACATGAAGAAGAAACTCCATTTCTCACACCTATTGCCAGTTAGACAAAGGCCAGATGAGCCATTGAGGGAGTTCCTGACAAGGTGAAAGCTGGAGACCACTAAGGTCTACGGAGCGGACGACAAAACCAGATTGTCCACGTTCCACCTGGTCTTGCGATCGGGTGATTTCTCCAAGCGCCAGGCCTTGGAGAAACCAAAGGAATACTTCATTGCACTGGCCGTGGCGGAAGACGAAGCAGAAGTAGAAGAGTTAGAAGCCAACAAGAAGAAAGAGGAAGCAGGAAGATTGGGGACCATGGTGGCAACCGCGAGGCCCGCGACGAGAAAAGCTGCCTTAGAGGAACGGACTCCCTTGCCATCCGGCCACCGTTTCAAGAAAGGTAGAGATCCGCGCGACCGACGTCCTTTTGGGAAGAACGTGTACGGGGAAAGGGTTCTCGACGAGAGGAAACTCTATCCCCCTTGAGGTGTTAAGCGAATGTTCCCAGACGAGCTTACACCTCTGACACACCCCGTCAGCGCCATCCTGGACTTTGCTGAACACTAGGGTCTGGTGGAGTATGACCCGAGATTTCCCCTGGTATATGCCGTGGGCGATGGCCCTTATTGCAGGTTCCACAGAGCCGCCGGACCTGACAGAAACGAGTGCAAGGTCCTTAAGAGGGAAATCGAGCTTTTAATCCAGGCCAGGTACTTGAGGCAATTTGCCAAGAAGAAAAACAATTACGTGAAAGAATTGTTTATCGTGATGTGTCTCGAAAAGGTTTTAATCAAGAAACTACTTTGAGAAGACCAGGTGACACACGTTGGGGAGTCCCACTATAGTACAATTGTGAGTGTAATTTCTTTCTTCTCTCGTATAGTTTATTTGATGATTGTCATTAGAGATGATCGAAGAATGATGTAGTGAGAACAGAAGCACCTACCATTTTGTATGCTCTTGATGACTTTGAATTCATGTTCATTTTGCATTTGATGAAGCAAGTCTCGGGAATTACTTATGACTTATCATAGGCATTGCAAAGAAAAGATCAAGACCTTGCTAATGCAATTACTTATGTGAAAAATACATAATTTAGTTTGCAAAAATTAAAGCATGTTGGTTTTTACAAGTTACTTGATGAGACAATGGAGTTTTGTAAGAAGAATATTATTGATATTCCAAATTAAGGAGATGTTTATCATCTAAAAAGAAGATCTAGGCGATATCCATCCACATTCAAGTTTTGGGAGTATTTCAAGGTGGTGCTCTTTGACAATGTCAACACAAAGTTAATTGAATGCTTGAGTTGCCTTGATTCTCGGAATTTGTTTTTTGTCATTTGACACACAAAAGTTGGTGGAGTTAGCTAAATTTTATTCGATGGAATTTGATGAGTTTTGTGATCTTTCTTTCCTTTCTAACTCCTGAGACTTTTATTCTTGATGTAAAAAGTGATCAAGATTTTGCTAATTTGAATAGGATAGGAGATCTTGCTTAAAAAATGGTTGAGAAGCACAAACAAATTACTTAAACCATGGTTTATTAGTTGGTGAAATCGGCTTTGATCATACCAGCCGCAGCGGCGAGTGTGGAACGCGTCTTTTCATCAAATTCTACAAAGCTCTCAAGGTACACTCTCTTAAAAAACGAATCAAAAGCAATTTGATCCATACTCAAAAAACATTTATAAATTGGTAGCCTCTTTACGGCTCCTTGTTAGAGTAAGAGGAGGGATGCTTTGTGAACTTCGGAAGAAGTTATCGGGGTCCACCATCGTCTTCACCTTAACCAATCTATCAAAATTTTTGTTGAAGTACTTGGTGCCGTACACCCTGGCTTCACTACTGCGATTGGGGCCGTGCTCGGTGGTGCCGATGTCTAGATCTCGGTAGTTCAAGTATGCCCGTCGTGGATTATCCGACACAAATCTTGTCATGAACTCGTGGAGCTCTCTCGCCTGGTGGAGGTACGCCTTCTCCGCCTCCGACCCTTCTTCCGACCATGAAATCGAGTACTGGATTTTGAAAAGAACTCCGGTGCGATGGGGGAATGCGGTCTCAACATCTGAGACTCCAGCTACTTTTCCGCCATAAGAATTGAACACCATTCCTATATCTCCTAGATCCGCCATCTTCTTCCACAACAACTCTAAGCCTTCTTTTGGAATCAGTTTTAACACGTAATCAGACTTTCTCTTGACGAACAACACTTTTTCTGGGACTCTGTTCAACAATATCTTTGGATCAGTGGTTTTGTGGTCGTGATTTGCCCACTCCAAAACTGATTGGATCCAACTCATTTCTGCACAATCCAAAGGTTTTAGCCCCAAATTTGGGATCTCCTTGCTCATGATCGATAAAAGCTGAGAGAAATCACCAAGGAACAGAGCCATAGCGGTGATTCTAACGGTTTTGTTTCCACCATTTGAAGGTGTGATGGGCTAGAGGAGGAGGCGGATGAAGAGATTGCTTTTCATGGTGGCGACTGCTTTTTGATACTCTAAAACGATGTCGGATGCCTTTTGGTCCAAATTTCTCTCCACACGAAAATATGTAACCGTTTTAGGGACTCCCACCAATCGGATTTTGAAGGCTAAGATTACACCAAAGCTGTCACCCCCGCCTCCCCTGATTGCCCAAAACAAATCATCCCCCATGGCTATCCTGTCTAGAATCCTACCCTTTGCATCAACAACACGCGCGTCCACCACGTGGTCCACGGTGACACCGTGTTGTCGGATCATGTTTCCGTACCCAGCTCCGCTGACGTGTCCACCTACGCCAACTGTGGGACATGACCCTCCCGGGAACCCGTGAACTGGGCTCTTCTCGGCAATCCTATAATAAAGCTCGCCGAGGGTGGCCCCGGTCTGGACCCACGCTGTCTCGGTGGTCATATCTACCTCGATTGACCGGAGATTGAACATATCAAGGATGACGAATGGAGAACTAGCGACGTACGAAAGCCCCTCATAGTCATGCCCACCGCTACGGGTCTTAAGCTGGACGCCGGTCCTCTTGGCACAAACTACGGCAGCCGGGACATGAGACTCCTGTAAGGGCGTATTAATGAGAAGTGGTTTGGTTGCGGAGGAGGTGTTGTAGCGGCGATTTCGCACATAGGCTTGTAACAATGAGGAAAATAACACATTTTTTGGATCATACACAATTTTAGAGACTTGGTTCTTGGGGATTGGGGTGGCGGCAGTGGTAATGCAATCAACAAACTTATTGTGGAAGGAACCATTGTTCTCTCCTTTAACAAGAGAGTTAAAAGTTGTTGGAAAACACAGAAAGGAGAAGAAAATAATCTTCAAATTGTTGGCATTCTGTATCGTGCTTATTTTCATTTTTGAGCTTTCATGCATGAATAATATAAGCTACTTAATAAACGGGTGTAAACAACCATATCATTAACCATGTGGGAATGTGTAGCAGTTGGCCACTACATGAAGAAATGAAGGCGATAGTCCCACTTGTGGGGTTGAATTGCATGTGGTGTCTAACACCTTAGAAACTCGCGCACAAGTCTCCTCTTTTATCGAAATCTTCATAAAATCAATATATGTACATACCTTCTTTCTCTCATATGATTCTAGATAGAACGATTTACGATATTTAATTTTAGAATATTTTATTTAAATATTAATGTAAAGTTTGAAAAATTTTATATACTTTGTATTTAAAATCTACTCCCTCTGTCTGAATATGTACTTCTTGTAAATAATTCACACAGTCAAACTTTATTTACTTTGTTTATTTTCACTATTCAATTCATATAATAATACTCCTTCTGTCCATAAAACATTTCCAGTTTGAAAAAGGCGTACTTTAAAATGTATAATTTTGGTGTTACTTTTTAATTTCTAATTTTCAACCCAACAAAATATATTCTACCCTATTAAAAAGTAAAGGAAAAATTAGAAAATAAAACTAAAATTACACATTTTTAAAGTCGATCTTTTTCAAACAAGAAATGTTTTGTAGGACAAAGGAAGTATAATCATGTCACCTTTTATTTTATAGAACTGTTTATGTAGTTTTTGAACATATAATTTTATTTTCAAATTTCACATAAATACTAAAAAATGTTTCTAGATAAGAGTAAAATGCTATCAAAATATCCAAATGGGCGTGTCTTTTTATTTCTGAAATAGAAGTTTAGCAGTGTGAATGGCGAGAGTACGTGTGATAATGGAGTGCAACGTTGTGATGGCGGACCAACAATCATAGGCAGTTGACGGTGGCGACCGACAATAGTGTTTTGGTGACTAGCAATGGAGGTTTTTGGTGGCAGGTAGTTGGGAGAATTATGATGTGTAGTGCGAGTGGAAACTTTTATCGAGTGGACCAACAATCGAGGAGACTTTTATTATAATTGTATTGCTTAAGTCTTCCACCATCTCCTAAATTTTGTAATGGATCGACCCGAGTTCAATGATTCACTTTCATTTTATTTTGTATTTTTTTAACTAACTACTTGTTTTAAAAAAGTTTAATAAAAATTTAATTTTGTTTCACCTTAGATTTGTATAATTTTAGGTCATACAGACTAAGGTATTATAGGGTTTTTAACAATAAAGAGACACTTTTACGTTTATTTATGTTAGAATAAAGGCCCAACGCTAGAGGGTGGTGAATAGCATTTAAAAAAGATCACAAGAATTCGAAACGAAGTGAAAGAAAGTAAAGAGCGTAAGGAAGGAGCACATCGTATTTTATACTGGTTCACCACAACTTGCGGCTAATCCAGTCTCCCGAGAGAACTCAAGTCACACGAGCCTCAACGCCACTTGCTCGGAGATACCGCACTCCAAGACTTCACACGAAGGAACGAAAACTCTGTTCGAACTACAATAAGGGAACAAACTTACCTTCAAGTGTAAAAAAACACTTAAGCACTCAAAATAAGACTCTCTTATAGAATAGATATTATGAGTACACAAATGAACGCTTAAGAACATGACAATTTCTTCAAGAATTGGCTCTCAAAAAACTATAAAATGTGAAAGATAAGAATGCAATGAAGGATTATTGATAGTTGAAGATTTGTGTGTAAAATGAGAGGTTTTTGGTGCCATTATATAGGCTAAAAGGAGGTGGAACCGTTGCATAAGCTCCCAACAGGATCATGACAAATGTTTTAAAAATATAGTGTGATAGTCGATTATCCTAACATGATAATCGATTATCAAAATATTCTTTGTCCAAAAATTTAAAATTCTATCCGTTGGAGGGCAACGGTAACACTGATAATCGATTATCGGAACGACTAACAAACCTCTTAGAAAATTATGGGTTTGGCAGCGAAACCATGATAATCGATTATCAATAAGGTGATAACCGAGTATCATTGGATTCAAAGCTGCCTAGGGAAGATAATTGATTATCATAAGTGAAAACCAACCTTTGGTTATCACTCAGGTAAGACCTTGCCAGCGAAAAACCAACTTGAAAACCAAGTTCATGAAAAACAAAGTGTTCCCAAAAGTAAAATTCAAGGTTGAAAAACATTGTGTATGGTATAAAATAGAGAAACCAAGACTTATTTATCAAAAACGAAGTCTTCGAGGTCGTAAGTCACGTGTTGACCACTTGAGCGATTTTCACGTGCTTATACAAATGACCATCCTACACATGTGTTTGGTATAGAATGATTGTTTGGGAACTTTTTAAATATGTCCTGAAGTAAAACCAAGTATAAAATATTGAAAACCACTTGGTTGGTTTGGACGCCAAAAACCGAACGCCGAACGTATTGGTTTTGGTTTGGGCAAAGACCAGGGGTTTTGAAAACATAAAAATACTTACGAAAAACATTTATTTGATGCATACAAAAAGTTTCATGATTTTTTTAAAAATCTTTTGACTCTTGAGAACCAAGACTTGATTGAATTTTTGGTTTTTGATCACAATAAAACCGACTCAACCAAGTCTTCAAATCTTGATCTTGTTCATGATTCTCTTGGTCTTGTGCCATGCCTTACTTCACTCCTTGAGTTATTCAACGGAACTCTTCATATCCACAACGGTTTGGTAATTATCAAAACATATAAAAAACAAACACGACTTTAGTTCAGCGCAATGTAAATTGTGTTCCAACAATTTACAATTTTAAAATAAAATAAATTTACATAAAAAACGTTACTTGCCACCACCACAGTCACACTGCCACCACACTTCCACTATCATACCATCATTGCCACAATGCTACCACCAGCGCCACACTTTCACCGTTATCACCACCTTACCACTACCACATCCACACTACCACCACCATCACTTCCACAATACCACAACCGTAGTTGCTGACGTCTCCTCGACTGCACTTTAACCACCACATTATCAGTAATTAACGTGTTCTCATAAAATCACACTTTCACGTTGCCCTTCCCCACCACTTGCATGTCCATATTAGTAGAGCATGTTGTCATCCTCTTTCACGTCTCATCCCATCATCGGCGTTGCTGTTGGAAATCCACCAAATGATGTTATTAGAGGATTCTTCATCAACTGGTCTATCATGTTCAACAATCGGTTCATGCTCCTTGACAGTAACAAAGATCAATCTCTAGCAATAGTCAAATTTCTCAATTAAGACCTCACTTCAAAGGAATCAGAACCAACATTTGAGAAACCTAGAGAGCAGGGAGGAAAATCAACTTGAACCGTAGCCCGGGGTGACTCATGACGACGAAGTATTCAGATCAATGTCAAACATCAACATCACTATTGTCATCCTTGTAAGGCTTCACCTGAGCATTGAACTTGGTGAATCAAGTGAGAATTGAATCGAAATTGGTTTGGAGAAAAAGAGATTGCATTTTGGGGTTAGTATGGGCAATTCCAGTTAAAAAATAATAATCAATCAGAGTCTTATTTTAGACAATTTGATTAATTGATTCCAATTTAGGAGGATTGTTTTTAGATTATAATGAAAAATAATTAGTTGAAGAGAACGATGGCGTAGTACATGCTTAAAAATTACGAAGTAATTAGATAGTGAAGTACATGTTTCTCTACTTTCGTGTAGGCATGATGTCTGCATACACACACCTCATTAAACCCTGCATTCGTGAGATTTTACTGAGTTGTTATTGTTGTTATTGTTGGGGAGTGAATTATGGATGCATTTTTTGGAACCATTTTAATCCTTTCACTCTCTTCATTTGTTTAGTTTTTTTTCTTCTATAAAATTTCTTGTGTTATTGATATTAATGTTAAAAAATAAAAGACAAAATAATAAGAGTAAATTCTATATTTGGTCTTTTATAATAGAGAGTTTTTCATATCTAGTCTCTATTATCACATATTACGTTCGTGATCATCTTGTTATAGGTACCTTTCTAGAGATAGTCTTTTTTGATCTTCTATTATGTTAGTGTTAAATAGAAGACTAAAAGTGTAACTTCATATTGACACTATGGCTAGTGACATCTGTGGACTAAGGTAAGAGTAAAAAACGACTTTAGTTGACAAACGATACATCAACATCGACCTGTGGCATTGGCTATAACAAGAAAGATATATGATCATTATAAAATTTATCCTAATTCCCTTAACATTGCTAAGCAATGTCATGGGATGACCCGGGGGGCGTACGATGCTCTGTTCGTAAAATTGACGCTTTCTACTAGACATGGCAAAAATGAACCGATCTGTTTTTGACCAGAAACCCGACCCGAAAACACTAGGTTTTGAACAAAGATTTTATTGACCAAACCCGAAGTTGATCGAACCCAAAATGACATGCTAAAAATGGGTAAAACCTGACCGAACCCGAATCCGACCTGACAAACCTGCTAATGTACGAGTTTTTCAAAATCATATACTTTACTATGAAATGTAATGTTATAAAAATAAGCTAGTAATTTTTTTTCTTTTTACTCATGTTTAGTGTACGAAGTTATATTTTCAGAATTTTTTTTAATGATATTGCATAATTATTTTTTTCTTACTACTCGTTTTTAGTGTAGATTTAATCCATTTTTTTTTTGATATTTTAGTTTTATTTAATATGAAATGCAAGTAATAATATGAATTTAAAATTTCAAAAACCAAAGTTATAACCTGTTGGGTCGACCCGAACCTGATAATATTGGGCCATGAACACTGAGTTGTCAACCCGAACCCGAAATAATCGATACTCGACCTAACCGACCGATTTGGCAGCTCGAGTTCCTACTCCTCCTAATCCGATCCCCCGGTAAACCCCCTCACCCGCCCCACCCCACCCCTTCAATTGCATCCCCCATCGTACTGCCTTCCGGGTCATTCAATGAGATTGTTTACTAATGTCATGAGAACTATTTCTATGAAATTATATTTTTCACCCTCAAAATAACATCAATATAACAAAAAATTTTAAAAAAAACCATATGTAGAAGGGTACTAATAAAAGGGCCATAGATATAATATTTGAGAATAAAAAATTAAATATGGAAATCCCCACTATCAGTGGCGGATGCAGGATTGTGAATGACTGGGGGCAGTATAGCAAAGCGGGGGTTCGGGGGCAGAGCCCCCGATTTTTTTTAAAATGTACTTTATATCATGATGAAAAAATTAATTTTATATCAAACAAATTTAAAATAAGAAAAACAAAATATTTTAAAATTAGTAAAATTATACTTCATCCGTCCCATTTTAATTTATAGCGCCTGTTTCAGTTTACGATGTTTGACTGAAAATCATGGCCACGCGGTTAACATGGTCCTCTAATCAAATATTTTCTTCTTATTTCATCTCTTTGATTAGGGTGATACTCTAAAATCTTTTTTCTGTCTGAAGGATCCCACGGAAGATCACTTAAATCTATTTCTTTAGCTATTGAAGGTACAGATGGTCGAGAATCATGTGTTGTCGGTGTTGAGGGAGACTTCCGTTTAAAAAACTTCTCCATTATCTAAAAGCATAAAATGAAATATACTTTTTTACTAAATCTATGTCCAAAAATTAGAGAAAATTATTAAAATATTTCTATTGAGAATTAATATATTTTTAGAGACTAGAGTCATCAAATCATATGTTTTGGGACAATTATAAATTATAATTAATAATAATCAAGAATTCAACATTAGCTAATTATTTAGTTCATAATTTAAAAAGGAGACAAAATTATTTGGAAATACCTGGTGCCTTTTTACTAAATTATATATAACATTTTATATATATATATATATATATATATATATATATATATATATATATATATAAATATAAAATTTCACTGGGGGCAGCTGCCCCCATATCCAATGCTGTAGATCCGTCCATGCCCACTATAATAGATCAATTTATAGAATTTACTCAAATAATAATATGATTGTATGTTACAAAAAAACATTGTACGTTAAAATAAAAACTGTGAGACATAGATAAAAGATAAGAATTGAGGAAGAATAAAAATAAATAAAGTATAAATTATTTTTATAAAACAGAAAATTTTATGATTGTAATTTTCATTTAACCCATCACAAAATTGTGATGTTTTACAATAAGTAACCGGAACTAATCCACACCAGTTTTCAAATACTCCGTTCCGTTAGGGTTCAATTATGCAAACGGTCACTAAGGCCAGTGGGATTCCCTTTTAACGCTAAGCTGACGCGTTAAAGGGTTTTCAAAAGCTCGATCGGAAGGCGAAACCCGACCGAGAAATGGAATCGCAGATCTTCAACTTCTGAACCTGTTACTGAATCTGAGCTGAATTCGAGATTCTCATTTTCAAATCTCGAGCTTGGCTCGCTGGGAAAGAGAAAGGGTTTATGATTGGGTAGAAGATGTCTAGGGTTCACAAGAATTGGGAGCGATTGGTCCGGGCCACGCTCCGGCAGAGCGGTTCCGGCCACGGGAGGTCTGCAAGCGGCATAGCAGGTTCCGTCCCCGACTCACTTCAGCGCTCCACTAATATCAATGCCATTCTTCAAGCGGCGGATGAGATTCAGGACGAGGACCCCAACGTCGCCAGAATCTGTGAGCAGCACCTCTCCCACTTCTTAGACTATTTTATGCAACTTTCCAAACGTTCAATTTTCTCTTACTTCAGATTTCTGCATTGCATACCTTGGCTTAGTTGGAAGTTTGTCTTTAATACATCTTGAACAGTCATTCCTGAAAAGCATATGGTTAGGACCTGTTCTTTTTTCCTTAATTTTAATAAAAATATAAGTCTAGTCAACTAGGATATATAGTTGAAAAGAACGGCCTGTACGAACAATTCTGCTATTGAAAAATAATACGTAGTAAGATAATAATTCAACACAATATAAAACTAAATTTATAATATATGATTCATCTTTTTAGAATAAAAAATGGACCAAAATGTAAATTCTTTTTTTTTTTAAATTAACTATACCACTGAAATCAGTTTTAATGTATAACTCGAACACCTAATATAGCATCAATACCTGCAACATGACATTCATTTTTGTAGAAGTATACAAAAAATTAAAATAAAGCATAAAATTCAGAGAAACAACATTTAAGTTTAAACTTATAAAGCATAAAAATTAAATCTTGGAGGCCCTATACTTTTGGCCCCACTGTGGAATTGCTCAGGTTAAACCCCTTAGGACCAGCCCTTATTCCGAGTGAACCGTTTGGTACAACTTTTTTGTATTGTCAAACTTATTTGCTTGTATATTTATACCAAAATTGAACTTATTTGACTAGAATAAACTCATAATAAAAAAGTTGGGTTGAATACTTATTTTGGCTCAAATGATGGAAATGATGATAATGACACTCATGCCATTCCTTTATTGATAATATTTCAATTATTTTCTTAATGGCGTGAATTTTAAATACAAGTACATTCTATGATATTTTTCCAAAAAATATATTCATCCATTTCAGCTCTAATATTAACAAATTCAGTCATTTCAGCCAAACTAATCTCTACCACACAAGTTCTAACTGTGTGGGCACACACGCATTGCATTACCTATTGAGGTTTGCAAATCATTTTGGGGTTTATATATAGACAAGAAGAGCGAATGCCTTCCAATACAGAGAACTCCGAATATTCAATTATTGATTATCAAAACAGAAGTATCAGATTAATGTTGAGTTTATCTTTTTTTTGTTAGTGTGTGAGCAAGCATATTTCATGGCACAGAATTTGGATCCAAACAGTGATGGCAGAGGTGTTCTTCAGTTTAAAACTGGCTTAATGTCCGTTATTAAGGTAAAGTACCCCACACAAAAGTTTCACTTTTCATACTGCAAACGTAAAGAGATAAATGTAATGATGAACTTTGAGTTTAATACTGTATCATATTGACAAATGTAATGATGAACATTTTGGTGATCAATTATTAATTTAAATTCATCAAATATTGATCTTTAGACTTAAAGAGATACTTATTAGTCAATCATCTTTAAGTTATCATCAAACATAATCTGTATTGGATTCTTGAATGTCCTTGTTGGTTCATTTATCTGTCTTTCTAGTTTCTACATACCCTTGATTGTCAAATGTGAAATTTAATTTTGCAACATTTACACAGCAAAAACTTGCTAAGAGGGATGGGGCTCCAATAGATCGGAATCCTGACATACAACGATTGTGGGACTTTTATCAACAATATAAACGGCGAAATAGAGTCGATGATATCCAAAGGGAGGATCAACAATTGCGTGAATCAGGGATTTTTAGTGCGAATTTTGGAGAGTATGTATTCTATCTCCACTCATCATTGTGCTCTTTTTTGAAAAATCTGATTTCAATACTGTTTCGAATGCCGCATAGATAATTTGTATTGCCTTCCCATGTCTCATGAGAGAGAGGGATGAAGATTTGGGGGGGGGGGCAAGGAATACTTTCGATGACAATAATGTCATTAATGTTTGTTCATTTGACGCATATAGTTATATGTACTTTTGAAGATTACAACACACACACTCCCTCCCACACCCTAAAGCATGCAAAAATAGAGAAGGAAATACATGCTAAGTTTGTGCTAGGCATGCTATAGTGAGTGTTGATTGTTTGGGTTTGATCTGCTGTGTTGAGCAGTTGTGCTACTTATGTTGAGTCCACGCTTCTTCCAAATGTATTCTTTATTTCAATTTTTGGACTTCTAATAGCTATAGGGAAAATATGCGTCTTTTAGTTATTTAATGAGCTAATAGATCACATGCTAATCTCTCTAGAGGGAACTCCCTCAAACAAAGTGACAATTGACTTGACTTTCTCACCCATTCTTCTTCTTCTTCTTCTTCTTCTTCGCACATACTCGACTTCCTTCTTTTTCTTCATTTTCGTCTTCTCCACAATATTCTCCCCCCACCCACCACACCTTATTGTGTGCACTCCACTCCTGCTCCTCCTTCGCACACACAGACTGCCACCCTCCCACACCCTCTTTTTTTATTTTTTGAAAGACTACTCTCCCTTTCTTCGTCTTCCTCGGACCACCCATAACCCTCCCTTTTTTTCTTCTTCGTCTTTGACAGTGCCAAACAGATCTGGCCATTATTCTTAATTCTAGATCTCAATTCTTAATTCTCCGTTGTGGAGCCGCGAACGGATCTGGATACATTTTCAGATCTATTTATAGATCTCTCATATCCGAGCGTTGGGGAAGGCACGACAACAAAGCTTTTGGATTTCATTTGAATCTTGATTTTTTCCAAGAGGCCAGGGAAGGGGGCGTGGGACGGGATTGAGTTTGTGGTTGAAGGAGAAGAACATTATGGAGAAGAAGATGAAAATGAAGAAGTAGAAGCAAGGGGAGTAGGGGTAACGAAGAAGGAAATATCTATGGAAGAGAAGAAAAAGAAACATGTGGGCTGTGGGGAGGGGGTGATGAAGAAGAAAGAGAAGGTGAGAGGGGAAGGGTAAAATTGTAAAGTCAAACCAATTCTCACTTTACCTAAAAAACCGTGCCAAGTCAGAACGAGAAGTTTCAACTTGGACGGAGGGAGTAATAAATATGCATTATTATTAATACTACAACTTTTATTTTAAAAAGATATAATATCTAAAAATCAAAATTATATTTAGTGGAAAAATAAAAATTAAAAAAATATTTTGATTCAAAATACCGAGTAGAATTTTATTAAAATGTTTAAACTTTTAAAATGTTCCATATGAGCTCAAATAATGTAGAAATTAGTGGAGTGAATTTAGTGTTTGGGCGGGATGTGACTATCGCCACCCAAACTGAATAATGAGTAGGAACCATCTAATTTAGTGTTTGTACAAACTAATACTCATATTACAAAAAGGAAACTAACAAAAACAACAACACCAACATTAATAATATGAAGACTCCTTTCAAAAAGCTCCATTTCATCTCATCTGCACCATCCTAGCAAATGATACATCCATATTAAACACTCTCTTTTCTAGCATTGTTGAGCATCTACTTGTTAATTGCTAAGGTACTTATTCTGAAGTAGCTGTATTAATGTAGCATTTCTCATTTTCTTTTTCTTGAAACAAATGCACGTTATATTTCCTCACATAACAGCAAATAGTACATCCTTTACCACAGCAAATAACCAAACACACGCTACCAAACACTCAACAAAGCTACCTATTATTAGTCCATCTTTTACCCCTCTCCCAGTATGAACGAATATAGAGAGTAATTCCTCTGAACATGCTCTCTTCAGGGGTTAGTCGGTTCCTAGCCTTCCAAATACTATAGCAGACAGCTGCATATACCATAGTTTTAAAAACCGGACCGGACCGGCCGGTTCGGACCGTGAACCGGCAAACGAGTGGTCCTACCGGTCCGGTCCAGGGGTTGGACCATAATCTGCTTCGAACCGGTCCGAACTGGGTAAGAACCGGCCGGTCGAACCGGTTCGCCCATTTTTTTTTGTGATTTTTTTCCAAAACATGCCTCTGTGGGGGTTTGAACCCAAGACCTCTTAGACATTTGGTTGAGTCCTAACCATCCAAGCAAGGGTGTTTTTTGTTGCAAGTTCACATAATCTATTATAATATTTCATAATTAAAAAAAGATTGTATAAAAATTCTATTCCAATTTTAAAAATATAATATTATATAGCTATGAGTCAAACACAAAATCATTTATATTATTGATACTATTACAAAATGCATATCATGCAAATATTTATTTGATTTTTTTGTAATATTAAACTTATTTGAAAAAAATAAAATAAACTCTTCATTTATAAATTTTAATATTATTTTTTTAATATGTAAATTTTATTTTTTAATTTAGTAAGATAACTCTAGTATATTAATATAATTTTAATCAAATGTTATAAATTACTTTCTTTAGGTATTTATAAATGAGATTGTGTGTGTGTCTATATGTATGTGTGTGTGTGTGTATATATGTGTATATATATATATGTATGTATATATATATGTATATATATATATGTATATATATATGTATATATATATATGTATGTATATATATGTATGTATGTGTATATATATATATATATATATATATATATCTGTGTGCGCGCGCGTGTGTGTCTATAAAAATTAAATAAATATATAAATATATCGACCAGTGAACCAGTACCTTGACCGGTTCGGTCACCGGTCCGGTTATGAAAACTATGGCATATGCAATGATACATTTCTGTCTTCTTCTTCCTCTGAGTGCCATTAAGCCAGCTCTGATTTCCTCAAGTTTGGTCCCTTCAAACTTGTATCCTTGCCAGTCACAAACCCGTCCCAGTAATGCCTTCGTTATGGGGCAGTTACAAAACAAATGGTCTATATTTTCTTCTGCTGTGTTACATAAGGAACAAGTTTTGTCAATATCCATGTACTTACAAAGCCTATCTTGGGTTTTCACTCTTCCTTTACAGCTAAGCCAAATAAGAAATTGGTGTTTAGGACAAGTCATCCTGTTCCATACAAAGGGAGTCCACTCTGTCCTTTGCCTCACCCCCATCAACCATCTGTACCCCTCTTCAGTTGTGTAGTCTTTAGTCAAAGGCATTAGATCAAAACACTATGTTCTCATTTTCTTATATGAACTAATTTAATAATGTTCCACTATGTTGGAAATATTCCCAGTGACTATTGGTCAATATATAACTCATTTTGGTTTTTAATGGTCAACATGTTTCAGGTTAGAGATCAGGGTTTCAGAAATGAGGAAGGTATTTGCTACCTTAAGGGCACTTGTTGAAGTGATGGAGGCACTTAGCAAAGATGCACCTCCAGAGGGTGTGGTAAAGCTTGTAATGGACGAGGTACATGCCATTGTTAATGCATCTGAGAAAGAAGCCTCATTTTCAAGATTATCTTCAAGTTGTTTTCTTATTTTTTTCTTCAACAATACGTTATTCTGGACCATTTGCTCACTTACTGCATCATGCGGTCTTCTATGACTATGACTATGACTGAGTTTGACTACCCCTCTCACATGCTGTTATGATGATCAGCTACGAAGGATAAAGGCTTCAGATGCTTCTTTATCTGGGGAACTTACTCCATACAATATTGTTCCTCTGGAAGCACCTTCACTGACCAATGCTATTGGATTTTTTCCAGAAGTAAGTAAAAGACATTGATTAAGTACTTCTATTTTTGTGAGAGTTGCTTGATTTGCGTGACTAGCACTAGCTCATCAGAGCTTCCTGAAGCCAACTTATGTTTTTGCACATACACATAGACAACATGATATTGTTCTCAGTTGCTGCTTCTGGTGCAATACCATTATCCTTGGCGGTGTTTGAAAGGCTCTGCTTGTAGCCTGCTTGTTACTGTCCAATATTACTTGTGTTTTACATGGTTCTTGTGTTGATTGTTCTATTTAGGTCAGAGGTGCAATATCTGCAATCAGATACACAGATCATTTTCCTCGGCTGCCACCTAATTATGAGATTTCTGGTCAAAGGGATTTAGACATGTTTGATCTATTAGAATATGTCTTTGGCTTTCAGGTATGATGGGTATTTTATGCCTCTAATTTATCTCTACAGTCTATAATGTCGTTACTCATAATGTGTTTAAATCTGGAAGTCAAACCGATGGATTTGTTTCTTATTTTCCATGAGTAGACCTGGTGTGGATTCTAGAAGCTGTCACCCTTATGTTTATGGTTGTTAAGTCGTCGCCTAGTCGCCGACTAGTCGTCCGGTCGTTTTTCAGGTGGCGACTTGAGTGTCGCCTAGCGGATGAAGGGGACTAGTCGTCCGGTCGTCCAAAGCGACGCCTAGGCAACGACTAGTCGTTAAATTGAAACCCTACCCAATTCGACCCAACTCGACCTGACCCAATTTCATTAAATTTTTAAAATAAAAAATGCTTTGCTCAATCGCTCAGCACATCGCAAGAGTCGCTTACCCTTCTCGGCATCTCTCTCTAATCTCCAAAGCCCATTGGTGGCATAACATTGGATGATGATATTTGAAAACTCCAAGCATGGAATTAAATATTTTAATATGTTCTTTTTGTGCTTGTTATCTTTGTTGGTGTGTTGTTCATGAAGATTGAAGGATATTTGTTTCTTATCTACCCTTATGTGAGTTTATCTGCTACCTTCAAACATAATTTTCTTTTGGTAATGATATTTCATCATATAAATATGTATAGTTATCTTTGGTAAATGAAGATCTATATAATGTAAAAAATTTCAATACTAATTGTGATTTGTCGACTAGTCTACGAGAGTACAACTAGTAGGCCGACTAGTTGACTACTCCACTAGTGTCCTCTTCACTGACTCGACTCTACTTGTCGCCGTGATAACCATGCTTATGTGGGTGTGTGTGTGTATGCTTTACTTTTATATCTTTCATGTGTATGAGTACCCATAACTGTGGCACTGAAATCTTTTGAATAAAATGCATTATTTCTTCGGCTTGGTCTTGGTTCTCTTTTGACAACATAAATACTCTATTAATGACAGATTATTATGTGACGGTGTTTAATTATGAATTAGTCACACAAGCATATTCCTGGATACCTCTAGCGTCTATTTTTCTATTGCTGTGTTTGGTTGTCCTTTAGTTATCTATGCAAGTGCACACAACATTTTTTCTTCAATCTTTAGAGGATTGTAAGTGCACACTGTTCTTGTAACTTTAGTGCGGGAATGAGAAACGTGACCTCTTCAATACTAGTGCTATATTCGTCCTCCCTCTCTTTTCTAGGTAGTAGATGGTAAATATTGTAACTAAGAGATGGTGATGATCTTTAGTTCAAGAGACTGTGCCAGAACTTCACCTTTTCTGTTGTTATATCCCTTCACCTTCTCACATTGATTGGAAAGTTTAATTTGTGGGCATCTTTAAGTCTAATGCTAATATGTTTTTCTATGTGCAATTGTGCTTGCAATTTCCATAAGTATGGACTGTTTATCTGTTTAGTTTAAAAATCATATTAAAAGGTTACTCAACGGTGAGTAGATGAGATGAGATTTTGTAAAGACAAATGGAGAAAATTTATAGTGAATGATTAAAAAGTGTAAAATGATCATTAGTATAAATTTTTCATGTGCCAGAAACATTGCTTATGCCTTATACATTGGGTTTTGTTTTTGCAGAAGGACAACATAAGAAATCAGCGCGAGAGTGTAATCCTCACTGTGGCAAATGCACAATCACGCCTTGGTATTCCTATTGACGCTGATCCTGTGAGTGATCCGGGCCAAATTTTATTTTTTGATGATCTCTGCTCTTACCTTTGGATCCCATGCACACTTAAAAGTTTTTTTCTTGGAAGCATCCTCTTGTTGTAAATAAAAAAATTAAATTGAGTCATGTCTGCTTTCTTGTTGACGGAAGAGGATGGTAAAATTTGTGGAGTCTTACTTTTTATTGATGGAGGAAGAGGTGCCGTTGTTGATTAAAAAAACAGGGAAGGGCGGTGATTTGTTGTCTACTGAGGAGGTTGCTGATTGAAAATAGTGAAGGGGTATTGTTGGAAAGTCAAAGCCGTTTTCATCTTGCATAAAAATCGTGTATAGTCAAAGCGGGAAGAAAAATTGTGGACAGAGGAAGTACTTTTTTTATTGAACTGAAGAGATAGAGACTTTCGTCCTCATTTTAGATGGTATTGCATATATATTTTTCAAAAACTACATCAAGTACCTTTTAAGGAAAAGTCTATTCAGCTTCTCTGGGAAATTTAGCACATTCTGCAATATTATGCTCTCCCCAGATGCTTGTAACAGTCTTCGGTTCATCAGTCTCTGGAGCAACTGCACACGCATGCTCAGTATCATTTTGATTAGATATGATTGGCATATGCTAGTTTAATTGATCACTCCTTGTATTTTAAAATGTTTTTATTTTTCAGAAAATAGATGAAAAAGTTATTACCGAGGTCTTTCTGAAGGTTCTTGACAACTACATCAAGTGGTGTAGATATTTACGTGTTCGCCTAGTGTGGAATAAGTGAGTTGTTCTGCTTCTTCCTAATTATATATAAAATTCCTTTGAGGCTTTGACAAATAATTTTGTATAAAATGTTTTTTTATGAATAGACTGGAAGCTATTAATAGGGATAGAAAGCTATTTTTGGTATCCCTCTATTTCTGTATATGGGGCGAGGCAGCAAATGTTCGCTTTCTTCCCGAGTGCATCTGCTATATATTCCACCATGTAAGTATGTGACACTGTTTATGTAGTTTTTGCTCTTCAAGTAATGTTCTTTTTCAGATTTGTATGCAAAACCTCTGATTACTACTTGAAACTTGGATATATTAATCTTGTGAAGGATGCTTTAATTTTTCAGAACAGATTATCAATTGAAATTAAATGTATCTCCCTCTATCCCAAATTAAACTTCTCATTTGATTATACAGAGGAGAGAGAAATGAGTTGAACCGTTCAATACTTATTTTTAAAAGGAATGATAAGTTTATTTTGGAATCGGAGGGGAGTCGCAGGGGGAGGGGAATCGGAGATGGAAGGAAGGGGGAGGAAACCGAGATGGAAGGGAGGGGGAGAACATACCTGTGGCGGATGGAGTTGCAGCGCCCGGCGAGAAGCTGTGTGGCGGCGAGGAAGAAAGGGAGCTGCGAGAAAATCGAAGGTTGGGGAAGGGGAGCTGCGAGAAAATCGAAAGTTGGGGAATGGGAAACATGGATATAGAGTCCGGAATGAAAAAGGCCTAAAACCGGTAATCCAAAACCTAAAAAAGGGAAAGGGAATGATTTTGTTTTAAAACAAACCACAACAAAGGGAATGAGGGAATCCCATTCCGTTTCCCTATTCCCTTACCCCCGAACCAAACGCCCCCCTAAGTATAAAAACCACATAAAAAAAATATATTCCATATCATCTCTTGTTCGTAGATGAACAGTTCCAACTCTATTTTGAATTTTGATCATCATTGATCACTATTTGAGGAAAAAACCACCATCCTCATACTTAAGAACTTGTTGCGGTTCTTTTTGACCTTTAGAAAACCTATAACAGGGAAGGTTTTGGATTGCCACCATTGTTCTGCCACCTTCCACTCACAGGCTGTGCATAACGCTTACTCTGGACACTTCTGGCGACTAAATTTTTCATCTTCCTTGAAATTTCCTACTCTACCATGAAAATTTTTGCCTGTAACTTTATCTGCTCCAGTTTTTTAGGCAGTAAGTAATGTCAGATATTGATATCAACAATGGCCCATGGTGAAGTTTTTGAATAGCAACCTGCTAATTATAATCCTATTATCTTTACTTCTAAAACTTCTAAATAGTGTCAAGTTTTCAAACCATCCAAATCTGAATATATGAAGTGTTCTTGCATTGAGGGAGCCAACTCTACGCTATTAGGGTTGACTCAAGATTGTTGTGTTGCATGGATTAAGACAATGTGTTAAGAGTTTGAGTGTTCAGCAAAGGACAAAAGCGTATTTGCTGTATTTTTGACAGTATAGGTGTTAAAAGACGATGAAGAAAAATGTTCCATATAGAGGTGTCTATCCGGTGATGTTGAAAATGTGGTAGAGCGTTTCAACTATAGAGAAGTCAAAGATAGTTCTAAATGTTTTTGTTATTTTGTGCGACAAGCTAGCTAAAAATTCACTTTTTTGATGTCTAAAAGCTTTATGCTTGCTTTGTTTCAAGGTTAAGTGTTCATTGTAATGAGTATCATGGCACATAGTGATACACCATAGTTTGTAAGGCGGCAAGGTGAGGCGAGGCGCCAATGTACCTTCATATCGCCTAGGCGACTAGGCGCACGCCTAGGTGACATGCATACCTACATACATACATACATACATACACACACACACACACACACACACACACACACACACACACACACACACACACATATATATCTGTGTGAGAGAGAAGATAAGTTTAAGTCTATTAGGCTACACTAAAAGAAAATGGGCTGCACTAAAAAATGGGGTTTTTCAAAATTTTAAAGGGGCCCAAGGCATCAAGGCGAGGTAAGGCGACGCCTAGGCGAGTGTCTGATCGCCTTAAGGTTTTCTAGGCAAGGTGAGCAGACAAGGCGTCCCAGTGACAACGCCTTATCGCCTAGGCGACGCCTTACAAACTATGTGATACACACAGGGGGATGTGTTTTTTTCTTTAGTGTGCTAAGCTACACTTTACATGTGTGTTGGCGACGACAGAAGATCTAAGGCTCTTGCCTATGGGATACACTGGATATCAGCACAGGGAAGTGAAGGATGGAAGATAAGATTGATCATGGATGGAAGATACCTTATATGAAGTTCTTTTTTTAAATCTCAATCCCATCTTGGATTTCGTTTACGTCCTGCCTTTATAAAAGTTTACTATTGTAATTATATAACTAAACTAGCAAGTGCTCCTAAAAGTTAAGAACTATATTAATTCTAATTGTAAATAATGCAAAGTATCTAATCAATCAGTTAGATCTTCTCAATCACTGTTGGCGCTCCCATTTTGTACAATGTGACTACTGTTCTGGAATTACTATGTATCACTGGGTTAAGCACATACTCTTAGATTAGGGTATTATAACACATCGGGTTACCACTTGAAGTTGCATTATATATGTACTTAATCTTATGTGATCTTTATGATGAGAGCTGAGTTAATGTATGTGCTGTAAGTGTTATAGTATATAAAAACCATTCTTGGGCCACAACCACAAGATTGAGATTTTGGTTGCGTTGGTTCCTTGACATGGTATTGGAGCCTTGATGATCAAGAGGTCACGAGTTCGAAACTCACCGCCACCTAGTTTTTAAAAAAATTAAGGTTTCACGTGCAAGGCTCAAAGAAGTCACGCCTGCACGTGAGGGGGCGTGTTAGAGTATATAAAAACCATTCGTGGGCCACAACCACAATTTTGAGCTTTTGGTTGAGTTGGTTCCTTGACAATAAGGGCACCAAGTGTTAATAAAAGAATGTTTTTGTGTTGTGTTATCATGATTTTGAACAAAGGGTAGTTGGCTTTATGATGCTTCTCGGATGTTTTATATCTTTTGGTGAACTGCTAACAGTGCATATTCATGGTTTTAAATATGGAAACTGAGTCTTAACCACGATAGGAATTGTTTTAAATATTTGACACAATGATACATTTATGATATCAATCTTGCTCCATATTTTACAGTTAAAAGATTTAAAATGAGGATGTCTATGGAACAACATCTTAACCTAAACTTTCAAGATCTAATATTTTAATTCCTGCGTAGTTATTAATACAATCTATCAAATTGTGCCACTTTTAGCCTTCTATACTATCTCTACATTCACTCTCCTTCAGCTTCTGGTCAAAGTTCATAATCATTGATCTGTTAATTGTTTATCACTTGATGAATTAAAGCTGACTTGTTTTGTGCAGATGGCCAGGGAATTAGATGCTGCATTGGATCATGGAGAAGCAAATCCTGCTGCAAACTATATTGGTGAAAATGGTTCTGTTTCGTTCCTAGAACAAATTATCTTTCCCATATATGAATCAATGGAAAAGGTAAATAGCTCTTTATTGTTCTAACTAAATCTCTGTAAATACAATTAAAATTTACAAGCACACACACAACTTTTCTGTTTCATTCCTCAGCCGATTGTGAATTGTCCTTTTTTATGGATTTGAATTGGGTGTATGTACCTTAGACCGTTTGGATTGGGTGTACCTTAGACCTAGCAATCGGGTCAATCGTTTCAGGTCCGGTTCCGATCTTCTTGGTTCGGGTCTCTTTTGGATATATGTTATAATCAGTTCGGGTCGGTTCGATTCGGTTCAGCCAGGTTTAATTCAGTTTGATCTTTTCCCGATTTTGGTTTGGTTTTGGTTCATGTTTATTTCGTTTTGGGTTTATATCGGTTCGAGTTTATATCGGTTTGGGTTTATACCAGTTTGGGTTTGTACCGGTTTGGGTTTATACCAGTTTCAGATGAGATTCCTTGGCATTAGAGTTCCTAATGTTAGCGTTGTGTGTAGCGTCCCCTCCATTTGTGTATAGGGGGTATATATACAACAACAACAACAACCCAGTTAAATCCCACAAGAGTAGGGTCTGGGGAGGGTGTGTGTACGCAGACCTTGCCCCTACTCGAAAGTAGAGAGGCTGTTTCCAAAGAGACCCCCGGCTCAACGTCAAAAGTTGCATTGCTTGACTAACTGCTACTTCATTAATTAAAGAAGCGCAAATAGTTTAGAGATCCATTTTGATTTATTCCATCACACCCCAAAGCCAAAAAATGGTGAAATTTTGGCTCCATCGGAGATGATGGAAAGGGGTATATATACACATGTCAGCAATAATAAGTCAATATGTTCATTAATGTGTGTTACGATGTCAATATGAATTATTTATACTCTATATAAAAATAGACAACCACCTTAGTTTAAGTGATAAAATACGGAATAAAAGATTTGTACATGAAATTAATTGTACCTATAATTTAAACGTGCTTTTCTGAAAAAGACATCAACCAATGAGCTATTAGGTTTGACAGGATTTGAGTATAATTTGTTTTGAATTTGATCAATATTGGGTCTAATCAGTTTTGGGTCTTATTAATTTTGGGTCTTATTAATTTTGGGTCTAATCGGTTCTGGGTTTAATTAGTTCGGGTGTAATTGGTTCAGGTTCAATCGGATTCGGCTCTGATTACATTCGGTTTGGTTTCGGTTCGGATCATTTTGGGTGTTCGGGTTTAATTTGGTTTTTCAGTTTTTCGGTTATTTTGGGTTCGGTTCCGGGTTATCGGGTTTCGGGTCTGTTTTCCCAGGTCTAGTGTGTACCTAGGGTCGGGTGACATTTGGGTCAACACATTTCCGGTCAGGTTTGTGTTTGGGTTAGGTTAAGTTTGGTTTGGGCTAACATTGGGTCAATATGCTTTGGTCTGGGTTAAGTTTGGATTGGGTCATGTTCGGGTGAAGATTAGTCGGATCGGTTTGGGTATGTGTCAGTTAATGCCTCTGCTTAGCTTCAGGTTTTGTAAGAATCGGTTTGGGTCAAATTTCAATGAGGGATTTTTCGGTCAGAGTTGGTAAGTGTCAGGTCGGTTAAATGTGATCGCATTATTTTTGGGTTGACATAGAATTCCAATTTGATTTTTCAAGGTTTGGTAATGTGAGCAAAAGCCAAAATTGGATAAATCATTCATTTCAGTTCACTTATCAAGAGAACCAATAAAACAAGTTTCAAATATTTTTTCAGTCTTATACTCTTATCATTACGATTTACGAATGTGTAATCAATTTTTATCAAGTCTTATATTTGACTCTTAATATAAAATACAAATAGATTAAGTCAGACAAGTTTGGATTGTTACTTCAATATGTCATTAGTCATTGGACTTAATTGAACACGTCATATGATGTATGAGTATAAGTCATCTTGATCATAATGAATCACACATTGAGTAAAGTTCCTTAACTCATTGATTATCACCTTTTTGTACATAATGTAACATTTCAAATTATCAGTTCCAACTACCATTAGCATTGATTCATGAATAAATAATTAAATATACTACATCTAAAGTACGAACGAGAAAATTTATGTAAATGTATTTATAGTTCTAATCTTGTTGGGTATGACTCAGGTAGGAATTAGGAGCAAACTTGAATTTGGTTCATTTTGTAATTGATTTTTCGATTAGATTCGGTTCGGTTCATTTCGGGTTTGAATGGGTCAATAAAGTTTCAGCTCAGTTTTGGTTTTGGTCTGGGTCACTTTGGTTCGGGTTGGAATAAGATGAATTAGCTTTCAGATCGGTTTGGTTTCATTTTGGTTTCATTTGGGTTTTCAGATAAACTTCAATTTAACAGTTTTGGGGTCGGGTTGGATCTGGTCTGGGTATTTTGGGTCAACCCATTTGGTATGGGTCAGTTATTCCAGGTCTAGTGCTGACTTGGATGCTTTTTAAATTTTAGAAATGCTATTTGGGATATTTTAAGCACCCATAGGACTATCCATGTATTTTAGTAATACTTCATCCTATATTTAAGTTCCAATTTGCTTTTCCACGTAGTTTGGATAAAAAGTGATGTGTGTTACGATTTATGTAGAAGACAAGAAATAATATGAACCATATAATTCATTCTTGAAAAAATGTTTTCATTTTGGAACGTCCATAAAAGGAGAGTGAGATTATTAATATGGGACAATGGGAGTAATAAGTAAAGAGTAAAAGAGTGAGAGAAAATAGACTTATAAGAAGCTCAATGGGTGTTGGTTACAGAGTTGAATGAGGGGTTTCATTATGTTGAATGGTTGTGCATAATTGAATAGAGAGTTGGATAGAAAAGATAGAATTTTTGGTTTATTTGATTAAAAATTCTTTGATTATATTGGGAAAAGAGTTGTAGTTGATTTAATAATGCGGGTTGATGAATGTGATGGGTTGGATTTAAAACATGTGATGAAATGAAGCGTGTTTCCTGTAAAAAAGAAGAGTGAGATGATTGAATATTAGTTAAGTTGTTGATTCCCTAGACTGTGAGAATGAATGTGCATCAAGGCTTGTTTGTGTTCCGAAAGTATGTGCCTCTTTTGCCCCTCAAGGCTTGCATCCCTCCTCTTGGAGGTAAAATAATCTTGAGACCCATTTATGTCTTTGTCCTTTTATAGGCAAATTTCTTTCTTAAGTGGAATGGAGTATCACATTTTCTAAGTTGTTAGTCCTCTTTGTTAGTTTCACACTGGAGCATAAAGAGATAATATTGAGTTAATAAGATTATGAGTTGGACTAGCTAGTTTTCTAGATTTAATTTTTTCTTGTGATTTGACCCAATTGTGTTTTGTCCCAATCAAGTGACCTCTTTGTTAGAGCCCCACACCAATATATTAAGATAGAATTCTGAGTTGAACTAACTAATCTAGAGGATGTGATCTTTTAGTATGTTTTTAAGTCTCCTCTCTCCATTAACTCTAATATATTCTTGAATTTAACTTGGAATTAGAGCCAAGCATGTCACAGCTCTACCAGGCTAGCATTTTCATATTCCGCTGTCCATGTTGTTTCTTTGTTTTCCATCTCAGAGTCACCAAAAAGAAGGTGATCATAGTTGTGTGGGAGCACCGACAGTCAACACCGGTAATTTGAGCTCGCTTTCCAACCGTAGGCACTCCACCAAGCGCAATCACTGTTATCTTCTGCCAAGCACGTGCTCTTCATACGCCGTCATGTACGTCTGTTTTTCTTCGCGGATTGCTTCAGATTGCTGCGTTGGCTTCCACTTAAGTTCATTGTTTGTTTTGATTTGTCGCTTTAGCTTTGTGATTTTCACTCACTCATTGTTTCTGTTCAAATTCTTCCTGCTATCCTCCATCTCAGGTTAAGGTTTTCTCAATCAAAAGTCTTATCCACTAAGATCAGAACCATTTCACTCTGTCCAAGATCAAAGCCCTTCTGCTCTGCTGTTTTTTTCTATCTGCTTTTCGTCTTTATTTGAGCTAAAGCAACACAAAATTGTTGGTCGTTTACATGGCCTAATTTAGTCTGATTCTCCAGCTCACACATTTATTTCAATTCACGGCTATTCCACAAAAAGAAGAAGAAAACCTGGCCTTTCAATTTCTCGGTTTCTCCATCCTCTCATTTTTTTTCCTTTGCATGTGCATTGACTCCGAGTCATGTAATACACATAATACATCTGCAATTACCGCCACAGGAAGCACAACGCACAAATTAATTATACTCTTTGTTTCTTTCAATTATCACTGGTTGGTCTTGAATTTTGGTTCGGTGTGCCCGACCACTTTGTTGGCAACCCTTCCTCTTTTGTTTTGCTTTCTCTTACCAAAAAATCACTTCAGACTACACTCTTATCTATCATAATGCTCAGTTTTATTTGTTCCAAGATGTCGTTTTAATTTTACTCCCATTAGTCAACTTATCCGATCTCTAAATGTGAATATAACACATTATCTCTTCTTTTTCTATCCATGACTGTTGTCAAGGGAGACTATTGGATCAATAAATGAGTCCTGTAGACTTTGTTACTAAAAACTTTCATCACATGTCATGTCCTAGTCATCACATATCTATCATCAACATTTGGTCATTCAAGTCTCAACGAATTTAAGAAGTTGTTCCCATTCCTCTATAAACATCTTTCATTTGAATGTTAGGTATTTGGTCTTGCGAAATCACCCTTTAGCTTATTTTAGTATGATGTTTGTTGTCCTAGTTGTGTCGCTTATATTTTGGATATTTGATTTTTTGTTATTGTCTAAGTAGAGGTATGGTTTGTGTACACCCACCCTTCCTAGAGGGCTCAGACCCCACTTTGTGGCACAAGCTTGCTAACTTCTAGCAGGTGCGAAGTATGTGAGTAAGGAATGAAGGAATCAAGGAAGTTGAGAATACAATACCAAATCCCAGAACTTGTGATGTAGACCCGTCTGGAAGGTGATTTGGGCATGTGAGGGGGCAGATTGCTGATGCCCCTGTGCGGAGATGCGAGAGAATTACGTTGGTGGGGGGGTGGGGGGAGTAGGGGATGTGGTAGACCTAAGAAAAATTGGAAGGAGGTGATTAGACATGACTTCAGACTTCTTGCCCTTATTGGGGATATGACTTTAGATCGGAGCGTTTGGAGAGCTAGGATTAAAGTAGTTGGGCAGGCGCCTTGCGCTAGGGGGTAGTTTTCTGTACTTGTGTGCCTTGTATGACTTGTATGCTTGGTGCTATCTTGCAGTACTGTTTCTTCGCTAACTTTAGTTATTTGCTTGGTGCTTTGTCTGTTCTTTCTCTGCTTTATGTTACAATCTTTTTATCCGTGCAACTACTTGAGCTGGGGGTATCTTGGAAACAACCTCTCTACTTTCGAGTAGGGCCATAGTTTATATACTTACCAAATCTAAATTATGTAATGCGGAATATATATATATATATATATATATATATATACATACATACATACATACATACATACACACAAACACACACACACACACACACACACACATATTGTTGATTTAAAAGAAAATTTTCTCCCAACACGTTCTGTATGCAAAAGAAGATATCAGTTCTTCTCCTCTTAGATTTTAGGAGATATGGCAGCGGGAGCTCAAAATGCTCAGAGATGGTTGCTACGGGCCATCTGGAGATCTGCAGTGAAGACGAGATGAGCCACAACATAGGGAATTGTCTGTGAGCACTTGGATTCACAGCAGAAGTTGCGGATGAGAGAGGAGAACTTGGTGGAGAGTCTTGAGATGTTGTTTTGGGGTTTGTTGGTTACTTGGTTTCATGAAAAATCAAATCCAGTGTCGAGCTTGCTTGAACAGCGCAGTCTGTGCAGATTCTGTCACTGGTCTGACAAGCAGTGGTCTGGTGATGTTTGTTCGCACCAATCTTGCTGAGTGGACCAGATTGCCATATAAGACTTTACTAGAAAGGAAATAAAAAGTGAAGGAAAAGAGGAGATACAAACAGAAAGAGAACGAGGGTTGAATGGAGAGAGGGAGAATTAGGGTATTAAAAGGAACAATAAGTTGGTGGTGTATTACTGTCATTTAACACAATAAAGGCTCTGTTTTAACTAATGGGAAGGAAGATATAAGACGACCTTAAAAAAGTGTTAAGAAAGATATAGAACGAAGGGAGTATGTTATGAGGAGCTTAATTTTTTTTTTGTAAAACTTATAATTTTTTCCGGATGGGAGATTATCATCATTTCCTTCTTCTGCGCAGGAAGTTGCCAAAAACAATAATGGAAAAGCTGCACATTCTAAGTGGCGTAATTATGATGACTTCAACGAATACTTTTGGTTCGGATGTCTTGTGATCATCAACTGGTATTTTTTGACCTCTGCTCTTATATTGTTTCACAGTGCAGACTACTCTGCAGGTCCCCTGCATGCTTTGAGTTGGGCTGGCCGTTTGATAAGGAATCATCATTTTTGAAGCCTAGAAAAGGGAAACAGGTTAGTTTTCCTTGTATTATCATTGTAGTTATCAAGTACTTATTTTTATATGGGTTAAGACAAAGATCATGCAACTGTACGTCCTGGAGCTTATGTACCCTGAAACTAATGTTAGATACAAAAACTCTTGAACTATATTTTGGGGAACACATTACACATATACCTGTAATAGAATTTTAGGTACATTTTTTTGCCTAAGGATCAAGCTCTAAGGTACATTCCTGTTAGTTCAAACTACGAGTTGGTTGATCATAGTTGTAGTCACTAAATCTTTGTGTGGGCCCAATATTTATTATGCTTGTAGTTTTTGATGAACCCGGTATGGCGCACAGTTAGATTCTCATTCCAACCAATACACTTGCCTAGCCTACTTTAGTATTGATTTTCACCGCTTTTGGTGTGTGTGTGTGTGACACACATATGCATCATTGCATCAGTGTGTGTCTGTATGATGATGATGATTATAATTTCCCCCAATGGATATAACTAATGCACATCATGCCATTGCCATTCCTTTCCTTGAATCATCGAATCTTCCTGCCTCATGTTATTCATCATTCTAACACTGTTGTATTGTTCATTCTGAACTGGGTCAGATGCGGCCAAAAGTGTAAAGTCATGCTTTTGGAACCATAGCTTTTACGTATGGTCTTTTTTGTTATTATTCTTATTTTCACAGCAAACCTAGTTGAAATCCAACTTTGTTGGGGTCTGGGAGCTAAGTTGTACCCAACCTTACCCCGTAAAACTGAGAGGCTGCTTCTCTTGGAGTGTTAAGCCCTTGATGCATTACTGCATTTACGAGCCCATGCATGAGACATGACACAATGGAGTTGAAGATGAGTAATGTGCCGGTTTGGTAACAGTTGCAACGTTTAGCTTTAGCATTTTCAAAATTAATTTGCATTGCTATAAAATTATCCAAAACACTAACGCTAATGACAATGTTGTCCCCTAACCAGAGCATACTCGTCATCATTTTAGTCTAATAACATATAGGAGATGTTGGTAGTTGGTGCAATTTGTATTTGTTCCCCAATTTGAAGTTTTGAACATCATGCCATTGTTACATATTTCCTTTAATCGTACTGCATAAGATGATATTATTTCTTATTTTCTTACAATGCTGTGTTATTGATTTTGAATTGGTCAGATGAGTAAAAGCTCATTTGTTGAGCACAGAACATTTCTTCACCTATTCCGAAGCTTTCATCGTTTGTGGATTTTTTTGGTTGTTATGTTCCAGGTATTTATCAATATTACGTATCGTCCACCTCCACATTAAGTTAGATTTGTACAATTCTATATATTTTGCTATGTTCTGTCACTTCCGTGGCATAATCTTATAATGTCGTCTTCTCTTATTAATCAGGCTCTAACTATCGTGGCCTTCAGTGATCAGAAAATTAATCTCTACACATTCAAAACACTGCTTAGCATTGGCCCAACATTTGCAATTATGAATTTTATAGAGAGTAAGTTGACAAATGCCATCATGATGTGATAGCTCGTGTAACATAATATTCTTTCTTTCTTGTGATCACTATCTTCTGTTCTATCTACGTAGGCTGTTTAGATGTTGTCCTTATGTTTGGAGCTTACAGTTCGCTAAGAGCCTTGGCCATATCAAGACTTGTTATAAGATTTCTCTGGACAGGTTTCGGATCAGCATTTGTAACATATGTTTACCTGTGAGTCTTTGGCCTGAAATTCGTATGTTCTTATATTGGATGCCTACGAAAACTAATTGTTTTATATAATGTTATGTGATTGCAGGAAAGTTTTAGAGGAAAGGAATAAAAACAACTCAGATGCATTGTATTTTCGTATTTACATTCTCGTGTTGGGTGTTTATGCTGGCATACGCATAGTTTTTGCGCTACTGACCAAGTTTCCTGCTACGCACACGCTTTCTGAACTGTCTGATCAATCTTTCTTTCAATTTTTTAAGTGGATATATCAGGTAGTTTATTTAAATAACTATGATACATTAGATCTATCTTCTGATTTCTCTTGAGCAAATTCAAATAAGGGTTTTATTGTTTATACTCAGGAGCGATATTTTGTTGGCCGTGGGCTAGTTGAGAAGACCACCGATTATATAAAGTTTGTCCTCTCTCCTCTGAGTCCTCTCTATATGCATCTTTGCTTGCATTTGATTGCTAATATTTGAAATACAAAGCTTTTCAGGGGAACTTTTTTAGTTTATTGTCAAGTAATATTTACTAATTTAATTAAATTATGGTATCCGTTTTAGAATGAAACTGGTATTTCTTTCGATCAAAACTATACATGCTCCTCAGCAGGTATTGTCCCAGGTAGTTTGTCACTGTTTTCCCTACCTGGAAGTCTTAGCAAATTGTGTTTTTACTTTTTATCATTTCTCTTTATGCCATAAAAAGTGGTCCACCGGGATTGTCAATTTTATTTAAAATGGTTATGAACGCTAGGAAACACATAATGCATGAATGTAAGAATGAGCCTTTTTATGGAATGTTGCAGTAGTGTTATACAAAAGTGAAGTGAACCTGGTCAACTTATGGTTGTAGGAGTTCAATCCCTGACTAATGTTCGTAGAATTCTTCTACTTACGTATAAAACCATCCTTCTTTAGTTTCACTTTCATGAATAAGTAATGCAGTTTTTGGACATGTGAAATGGAGGCAACACAGATGTTTTCTTGATTTTGTCCATATTAAGCCTCCCTTAGCCTCAAGCGTTCTGCCTTGTTTCAATAGGGTTTCCTTTTTTTCTTCAATTTCTGTTTTAGTTGTATATCTATATGACTATATTTGCATTTTCCCCTAATCATTGTATTGCTACAGTGCGTGCTAATTTTTGTTTTGAACTATGTGTTTGACATGTGATATTCATATGGCTGATTGGAAGTGAAAAATTAATTATGACCAGTTGGGAAACTTCCAGTGGAATGTAGAACAGTGAACCACACTAAAAAAAGATATCTGCACTCTTGTTTTTCTGTCGTGCATCATGTGATCATGAAGCTCTGATGACATAATTGCATTATTTCACACACTCATTCTATGTCGGTCTCAGTGTACTTTGACTTGTCATTAGCTCTGATGACATAATTACATTTTTTCACACACTCATTCTATGTCTGTCTCAGACTCTCAGTGTACTATGACTCGTCATTAAGTGCTCAATATTCCAACACCCCACATTGGTACCAGACTACCAGGGCATGTTCCTCGCATATAACATGTGTGTGATTTTGAGTTCCTGCACTTGTAGCTTTCTTTTATAGTTTGGTAGTATATATTTTCAATTGTCTAATAATTCTCTGCCAATCATTGGGAGTGCATTTTCTTGTTCCAGCACTCCAATTTCTTGTGGCTATATTCATGACGGTTCTCGTTTCATTTGTTTTCTCTACCAAGGGAGATCAAACTGAAATGCTTTGACCCTTTGTGGGGTTCTTTTTGTTACTCTTGGTAATTTGCTACTGAACTTAAGGCAACTTTTTCATGATAGTTAGTTTTTTCCTGCAGATATGTGCTCTACTGGTTGGTGATCTTCATTTGCAAATTTACTTTTGCTTACTTCCTTCAGGCATGTAACTAGTTTGCTTCCCTGCAATTTGTCTGCGTGTTTGAGTTTTGAGATTATACTAAACACTTGTCAATTAACAATTACAGATTAAACCCCTGGTTGAGCCGACTAGGATAATAGTATATCTTCCTAAACTGCAATACTCATGGCATGATCTGGTGTCAAAGAGTAAGATGTTCATCTTTTTTGTATGTTCGATAACTTAGAATGTGAACAAGTAATTTTTGTAAAACACGATTGCTTATTCCTCTCACCGCTTTTGGTTCAAATGGGAATCATCTAAGTTCCTGCACCGCATAATTTGCTTATCATAATTGAAAAATGCAATTGCGTATTCCTGTTACCGCCATTGTCTCCAATAGTCCAATAATACTTTTGCTACAGTGTAGAAAATATTGCCTCAGTTTCGACCATTCGTATCCCTGGCTATAATGCACGAATGAGATTTGTATCCATTAGTATAAATATGCCTCTCACCATGGAGATTACGATTAACAACAACAACAAAACCAAGGTCATCATAGAGATATACAAAAACAATCTTTTTATTTAACTGGAAAATTGGGAATATGAGAAAGAACCTTACTCGCATGGACATTTGTATCTTTATGTGCTTCTACGTTTCATTGTTTAACATAATCAGTTGCCTATATCACATTTATGGAAGTGATACTCTTTATGAAAAAGTTAACCTGATAGATTTTGTTTTGGATGGCAGACAATAATAATGTATTGACCGTGGTCAGCTTATGGGCTCCAGTTGTTGCAGTAAGTGATCTCTTAGATTTCTTATGCTGTTGATCTGATTTTTTAATAGTTTGTTTACTCTAGCCTGTAAAGTGCATTTCTCATTTAAATACTCCCTGCGTTCCTGCTGTGGTTAATGAAGCTTCACTGAAGTTATCTACTTATATTAAAAAAATAAACTTTATATATTTAATAACAACATGAAAACTCTATAAAACCAGATGTGGCTTGACAACGTTATTGTAACAAATAATTAAAAAAATAGGTAAAGAAAGAAGTAAAAGTTTGACCTGTGAATAGTACCACAAGAACATCTTTAGGGACGGAGGGAGTTTATATGTTTTAATGGCCTCTATTTCAGGAGAAATTCTTCTTGTGTTATGTTTATTCCACAATGGATAAAATCTATGTATTTGAGATAATTCCAGAAAATCTCCATTTTTATGGGAAATGATGATTGATAGTGTTAAATGTTAATTGCGTTTATTTCTACCCTAAAATAATCATCTAGAGGTGGATGTTTGCAAGATTTATATTCTAGACTATGGTCCCATAACCCATCCGCGTGGGATACATTACAGTTAGCAACTTAGCATATTGTAAATCAGCTTTTTACAGAAAAGTGTTCCTGTAGTGGCTGTAATCTTATCTTTACTTGGATATCTTATTGTGTTATGGGTAGTCATGGGCTTTTTATACTGCTGATTCTATGGCTGATATTTCACCAGGATATCTTGTATATTTCTCTCTTTTGTTTCCCAGTTCTATCCCTGTTTGTATGTACAAATTATTGAGCTTTGTTTTTTTCTATATTTCTTTAGATTTATATAATGGATATTCACATATGGTACACTCTGCTATCTGCAATTGTGGGCGGTATAATGGGGGCACGAGCTCGTTTAGGAGAGGTTTGAATTAATTCCATCCCCTTCAAATTTGCAGTCCACTGAATCACATTCTGTTTCCAAGTTATTTCTTCAAAAGTTGGTTAGTTCCATTTTTCACTGCTGAATCTTGTTTCAATTTTTCTTTGAACTTTATTTTACCTAGATACGATCGATTGCGATGGTACATAAACGTTTTGAGAGCTTTCCTGAAGCATTTGTTGAGAATCTTGTGTCTCGGGCGACAAGGTAATCATCATCTGCTGATTGGCAAATTCTGTTTTTTTGTCCATTGTATCCCTTTTAGAACATCCGGTACAAACCAGTTATCACATGTTGGTAAGTATTAAACTTGGAAGAGACATATAGTGATGTTAGCAGACATTTTGTAGTGCCCATTAGTCATGACATGGACCAAACAAACACATTCAAGACTTCCAAGTATGTTATGTGGGAGAAAAAGCAGATTGTGTATATGTTGTCTGTATTAACCTAGGAAGAGACATATGCTAATGTTAGGAGACATTTTGTAGTGCCCATTAGTCATGGCATGGACAAAGCAACCACGTTCACGACGTCAAGTATGTGATGTGGGGGGTAAAGCAGATTGTGGGTAGGAAAAACAACAACCCAGTTGAATCCCACTACAGTAGGGTCAATTCTGGGGAGAATTTTGTAGTGCCCATTAGTCATGGCATGGACAAAGCAACCACGTTCACGACGTCAAGTATGTGATGTGGGGGGTAAAGCAGATTGTGGGTAGGAAAAACAACAACAACCCAGTTGAATCCCACTACAGTAGGGTCAATTATGGGAGAATTGTGGGTAGGAAACTAATGCCTATTTTTTTGAATGTTTTGAGACTCCATTCTGGTGTTGCAGTTAAACTCATAAGAATTAATATAACATGCAGCCAATTCATGAGCACTATCATTTATACCTATGCAAAAAATCAAGGGGGTATTCTAAAATGTGTATATATCTCATCATAGAAATTATGGAAAATATGAAATATATCAAATCAATCATTCATCATGAAAGATACTTTAATAAGTTTAGAGAATGTCTTTGTCGAGGTTGGAGATGTTCAAAAATTTTAGATTGGCCTGAATATTATGTTGAATAATATATTGTTTGTGCTATAGATATTGTGTATATAGTTTTGTGCGTGAGCTAATGGGGGGGTCATCCAATCATATAAAAGCATCTTTAGTGGGGTTGCTTAGGTGAGTTGCTAAGTACTCCCTCCATCCCCCATAGATCTTCCCAATAGCCCTTTTTATTTGTCCCCAATAGATCTTCCCAATAGCCCTTTTTATTTGTCCCCAATAGATCTTCTCATTACTTTTTTTAACAATTAAAATATCACAACTCCCCCCACTTTATTTATTACACCTCACCTACCTCATTTAATACACTCCACCCAATTTCATTAAGGGTATTATGGTAAACTTTCACCTTTTTTCAACTCTCTTTAAAAACCACAAAAAGTCAAAATGAGAAGATCTTAGGGGGGTGGAGGGAGTATTATTTTGATAATAAAAAGTTAAGATATGGCTACTTCAGTAAACACTTCTCCTTAAAATAAAGCAACTTGTGAATCATTTCGTGCTCCACATCAACTTTTTTAGGTGAAACAAGTCACCAACGCAACCCCACTAAAGATGCTGATGGAACTTAATTCCACAGAACAATTATCTCACTCTCTATCCTTTCAAGAATCACTGAGCAAGAATGAATATAGAAACAAGAATAATGAACTCAAGAATGGTTTGAAAAAACTTGCTTATATGCCAAGGGGTAGTATTTCTAGGCTCCTAAGCTTTCTAATCATTATTGAGACTTCTTTAGGAAACTAGGTAAACCCTTCCCAAAGCCAATTAACCCTAGTAGTTGGGCCCATCCTTAATGACACGCGCCTCATGGCCGCCTGGGCCGGCCCACCTGTTAAGCTTGCGAACAATTTACCATGGGTTGGGCCCAATTTACTTAGGTACAAGTTGGATCACTATATTGGTTAATTACATGAATGTTTACTCTCGTCCCAATATTGGGCTTTAGTAGTATTTTCAATACCTCAAGTTGGAACCTTGCTATTATATGCTTTAAGCTTGTTAGAAATGTGTTCGTGTTTTTCCGACAGTGGTGGCGCGGGAAGTGAGAAAGTTTTAAGCTGTAGTGGGGAAATATTTTTGGGAACAAATACAATTCTTAAGAATAAAAATAAGTTGTAAACTACTACTACTACTACTAATAAAATTAAATGGAAACTACTAGTAGTTTAATACTGCTTATAATAATAAATATAGTAATACTAGTAATAATAATAATAATAATAATACCTAATAATAGTAATACTAGCTATTACAAACCCTAGTAATGATGATATTAGTGATGGTGATGATCATAACAACTGTACCACACCACTTCCCCTAAACAGACTTGTTGATGCACAACAAAACAACCATTCAGTTTTAAAGCACAATTATGCGAGTCTGTATATGGTACAACCGGTTGTACCCAAAAGTAAGGTACATCCGGGTAGTACTCATTTTTAAGTAAAATAATACTCATGCTCGCACAAAACAAAAGTGTTCATTTTGAAATAATGTAGTACTCATTCTGAAATAACGTAGTACTCATTTTCACACATTTGTTCAATTCGATTATCATATTCGTTTACAAATAATGTAGTGTTCATTCAGAAACAAAGTAGGGCTCATTCTCAAGTAACGTACCGTTCATTCTCTTCATATTTGCAAAAGGGGAATGTACCTAAATGGTATTAAAACATAGTAACTTTCCCAATGTAGTATCATATCTTTTTATTTTCCAATATAGTACCACTGATCATTGTCCACTGATCATTATCCATTGTCCATTGTTCAAGTAAATGTCCAACGCCATTGGACATTGTTTAAACTAAATGTCCACCATTAGACATTATTCAAGTACTATTTAGGGAATAAAAAAGTTTAAGTAGTACATCGGAAAATGACATATGTTTTAGTACTATTTAGTGCAAATTTCACTTTGGAAAAATATAACCCACAACCGTCATCATCTTCATCGCATATCTCCACCATTGACGCGTTCATCGCATAGTATCTACATCTCTGCAAATCTCGACCATCGACATAGGGTTTCATTTTGCTTTCGCCACCACCTTCACCAGTCGATCGCGGCCGCCTCCTATCACTAGGGTTCTGCTTTGGATCGAATGCCGGTCTCCCCTTCGTCGGCGCGCTTCTATGTCCTTCGATTTAATTGCCGACAGTATCGGAAAAACGGTACAATTGGCTATACCGTATAATTTGCGCAATTATGCACTCTGTTATGCACTACAAATCCACAATTAGCGCACACACCTCTCCTTTCAGAGTGTTTAAGATAAGTCTTGTGATACAAACTCAAGCTAAGTAGTTCTATACTCATGAGCCCTCCTTTATCTGTCTGCTCAACAATTTACAACTTGGTTAACTTTGTTGAGAAGCGGCCTAGCCAATCTGGGGTACGGTGGCTTCAACTGCCAGTGAAGAGAGCTGAGCTCAACCTGTAGTCAACTATTGTAGTTATAGCTGATTTGGGTGTGTGTTGAGTGTGTGTGTGTGTGTACCTAGTACCTCTTCGTAGACTAGGCATGTTGGGCCTCAGCCATCACCGTAGCTAGCTTATGAGTCTCATTCATTTTAGACTCTATATATTTCCCTTCCACTTTGAAGACGGGATTCGATTCTCAATACACAATCAAACACATTAGCTCTCTCTCTATCCCCTTCCTCGTACATTGTTGCTTTCATATAGCGTTTGAGCATAGACTAGTCAGTAGTCCTTTTGGCCTTGTAGAAATTTATCTGCAATATGCTATTAAGTTTGCAACTCCCAATCTTCAATTGTTTTAGCTCTCCCATCTTGACCCGACCTATGGGTATCCAGTGTCTGAACTCCAGTTCATCCAGCTTGCTCTAATCCAACTCTCCTTGTGCATTGTCCAATTTGTGGTCTTTGCGTAGTCCCGTCCTTGAGGTCATGCCAATTGCTCAAATTATCGCAGTTCATAGCTTGCCTCAAAACTCTTAGATAATGGTGGTCATATCTAGTGACTCCCTAGAATTCGTCTTCATAAAGTTCTGTGTTGCGTCAAGTTCAAGAGGACGAAGTTCATGTCCATATTGTTCTTTACAACAAGCACATTGGAACACAGTTTATCCTTCAAGTATCCTTCGTTATACAATGAACACCTTGGGATCAAGATCATATGAGTAGTCTCCTTGTTACAAGCACCATGTGACAAAGTTCATCTCTAAGAAGTATAGATATCACCCTATATAGGACTAAAACATAGAGAAAAGTACCAAAATAGAACTTTCATATTTTTTTCTCGAAATAGGACTTCACACTGTGGTAATATGGTTGTAATGTGGCACTGTACATATGCACATTACTATACTTTTGGTAATGTACATGACCATTTTTGGTAATGTAAATGCATTTTAAGTCCTATTTTGGGAATAAAAACACGGAAGTCCTATTTTGATACATTTTCAATGTTTTAGTCCTACTTTGGTCTTTCTCCCTAAGAAGTATGTAACTGTGTGTACTTGTTATGGTTATTATGCTTTTTTATAATCTGAGGTCGATATCACATACATTTTAGTGAGTGGTGACTGAATCACTGTACATTTAACTTCAAGAAAAATGTGTTCTTTGATCATCATAGTGAAACATTTTACTTATGTTCTTACAGGTTGCTTTTTGAGAGACAATCCTCGCAGGTGGGGCTATCAATTCCTTCTTGTTGGTTTTATTAATATCTTACTTATGGAAGTTATATCCTTTTTTGTTACTATTAGTTCTTGGGTCTCTGGGTGCCTTTTCATATTCTTTTATTCTTTTAAATGTATTCACTTACTAGTTCTTCATTCTTTTAAAAATTATGTTTAAAGGATTCTCTAGATAAAAACAAGGCATATGCAGTAATGTTTTCACCATTTTGGAATGAGATCATCAAAAGTTTGCGGGAAGAAGATTTTATTAGTTATAGGTAAGTGACTTCTGTCTAAACTTCATATCTTCTGCATGTCCCGTTAAGTGATGTTGTTCTCTAAATTGTTTTCATTTCATATTCTTGATCCGTATTTTTATATCATGTCAGAGAGATGGATTTGCTTTCAATGCCCAGCAACACAGGAAGTTTAAGATTAGTTCAATGGCCACTTTTCCTACTCAGTAGTAAGGTGATACCCACTAAAAGTTTCATACCCTCTTTGTTGTCTAATAAGTTCGGTAATTAATATGGGAAAGTCTGTATTATGGCAACTATTTCAGATCTTGCTCGCAATTGACTTAGCTTTGGATTGCAAAGATACCCAAGCTGACCTTTGGAGCAGAATATGCAATGATGAATACATGGCCTATGCTGTTCAGGAGTGTTATTTCAGTATTGAGAAGATCTTATATTCTCTTGTTGATGGAGAGGGGCGGCTTTGGTGCGATTTGGTTATCTTGGCGTACAATAAATGAAATTTCAATCTAGGTCCTATTTAATCTTATTAGAGAATATATCTTTGGTTATTTCTTATGTGCTCTATTCTTGCCAGGGTTGAAAGAATTTATCGAGAGATCAATAATAGTATTTCCGAAGGATCCCTTTTCCAAACTTTGACTCTTACAAAACTGCCAAATGTTTTGTCAAAACTTGCAGCGCTGACTGGACTTTTGGTACTGTCACTTTCCATTTTAATCCTATGCTTTAGGATCCTTTCATGCATAGTTGTTTATTTATTTCTTTTATTTGCTCTTTGAAACTTATGATGGTTCAGCTTTAGGAGTGTGGATATCTTTGGTTAATTGGTTTAACAATGTTCACATCATTTCTAGCTCGATTTACAAAACATTCACATCATATTCATAACTTTCCATCATCTCCGATAGAGCCAAAGATTCACTATTTTTGGCTTTGGGGTATGATGGAATAAAGCAACTTTGGACGCTCATCATGGTGCAGGGTTGGGAGTGTATTATCTTTAATATATCCGGTGTTGGGGTGAACCCATCACACGGATTCCCAACATCCCCCACCCTCAAGTGGTAACTAGCCTGGTCTAGTTACTACTTGAATGAGTGAATGAGTCTAGCATCTCAATCACCTTTTAGCTAGCCCGGTGAATACCACGATGAATCAAACCCAAACTAAACTAGGCTCCGATACCATGTTGGAATTTTGGTGGGCCGAGTGAACTCAGCAGAGTGTCAGGTGAGATCTGACCACTTATTCATAAAAAGTCCGGATCCACTTTCTATACAAAAGCTTAAGCTAAGGGGTAGCGCTTCACCTTTCTTTAAATAATAGTGCATTTTCTTTGATTTGTCAATGTTGGATTGAACACATCACACGGATTCCCAACACCCATCCATGATAGAATTTAGGATGGGGTATGGATCACTGGATTGGGCAACAAGACACTTGAGTTGAACCACCATAAAAAGATTGAATTCAATCAATTACTTAGTTCAACTCAAGAGCTTATATACAGATTTATTTTTTTTACAAGTTCCGATGTGGGATACTCTTTAACACACATCTTACCGGTTGGTTCTACTACTATATTATATTTTCCCCCCTATCTAGCTGGTGGTGGCTTTCTGATGCTACCCATTAGCCTCCTAATATATTATTATCCAACATATACAAAGTATTGGACTATTAGGCCTAGAGATAGCTTGGAGAAGCTTGCCCATAATCAAAATTACTTTGGCGGTATTCCTTTCTGGATTGTGACAATCCTTCCTAATTATCTTTGAAGTAGGAGGCTGGCTAAATTTGGGATTACTAGTCTACCTCCAAAGAGAAGTGTTGGGATTACTAGCTCAAATGTTGACCGTTTGAGCTAAAATTACCTCACATAATGCACCTCCATTATTATTCGCGTTCTTCCCATGTTGAAATGAGCAAAAGCCCTGGGATCGAAAAACCAATTGGGATTGGCCGCGTAAGATCGGAACCAAATTAGTCCTTTATACGTTCCTGCAATTTAAGTGGGGGACAGGTGGCCGGTGGTATTTTTTGGTCCTTAATGATAGGTGTAAGATTGGTTTACTAGACTGGTTTGTAGTATTAAAAACATACAAATCTATATACTCCTTCTGAGTTGAACCACCTTACCACCACAAGGAATGAAATGGGTTGCCCACATTAATTCCCATTCAAAACCAACCAATTTCACTTTTTTTAAACTCCGTGAAAAAGAAGATAATGAAGTAAAATTTCGTATTTAGCTCTTAAAAAATGAATAATTACAAAAGAATAGTACTGTTCGTGAATAATGAATAATTACAAAAAATGAATAATGACCAAGACCAGACCGGACTGCTCGTGAATAGTACTGTTCATTTTGAAAATCCAGTCTGGTCTGTACGAACCGGTCCTTATGGTCATCTCCGTTCCCATCACATGCGCTATAATGCAATCCTATTGGTAGCTTCTGTATAGAAGTCATGTTTCTGCATGTACTGATATTTTCTTGTGGAGTTCGCTACATAATTTTAGCTCTTATCTCTTTAAAACGAGTGTATTTAAAGTTTTAAACAAATTGGCCCTGCTTACTATTCTTTTTCTGGCTGTTAGTTTTAGGATACTTTTCTTGAATTTGCAAGTGTACTTTCGTATGACAAGATTCTGCGACGTCTGGTTTTTTACTATAGTTTGTACTCGATTGATGTTAAATACAATTTCAGAGTCGAGGTGAAACTCCTGTACTTGCCAAAGGTGCTCCCAAAGCTATGTACGAACTGTATGATGTTGTCACGCATGACCTGCTAGCACCTGCCTTAAGGTACTTTTTGTGGCCTTCTTCAATTTAAAAAATGATTTGGAATTTGACTACTAGTACTTCTTTAGTTAACACATGTCATATCTCAGAGAGCAGCTTGATACATGGAACATATTAGCAAGGGCAAGAAATGAGGGACGACTGTTTTCCAGGATAGAGTGGCCAAAGGATCCTGAGATCGTACAACTTTTGCTTTGTAGTTTATTATAAAACTGCCACTATAGTAAACGCGTTAGCAGAGCTCGTACACATTTTTCTGACATGCCGAAGTTCTTCCTTGCAGAAGGATCAAGTGAAAAGGTTGTATCTTCTCTTCACAGTGAAGGATTCTGCGGCTAACATACCAAAGAATCTTGAAGCAAGAAGAAGATTGGAATTTTTCACAAATTCTTTATTTATGGACATGCCTCACGCAAAGCCAGTTTCTGAAATTCCTCCTTTCTGGTAATGTTCATTTATTGATCTTTTATAGTTTCTTTCTATTGATTTGCTTTTGAATTTTAGTTGTTATTATATCTGCAAAACTGTTAAATCTAATCTGTGCTATGTTATGCAAACGGTAAACAGTGTCTTCACGCCTTATTATAGCGAAACAGTGCTTTATAGTTCTTCTGAGTTGCGGAGTGAAAATGAAGATGGTATATCGATACTCTTCTATTTGCAGAAAATATTTCCTGGTAAATCTTCAACCTCTTGTTCTTTTTCTATGGGCTACCGGTCTACTCTGATCATCTTTGACATTTTCAAGCTTCTTGTGTTTCTTCTCTTGATCTATGTTCCTTGTTTATCATTTTATTTAAGTTAAAATGTAAAAATTAATAACCATAGAAATATACTAATTCTAGTCATAGACTTAAGGGGGTGTTTCTCTGTGTTGGTGCTTATTAGCTTATTGGTTATAAGTATTTTTTAACTTATAAGTTGTTTATAAGTTAAATATTCTTTTGTAGAAGTCAAATGACTTAAATGATAGATAAGTCATTTGGGAATATTCATGAATGATGAGAGATAGTTTTGTAAATAATTTGGTCAAAACAGAGAAACAAAAAAATTGGTTTAAAAATAAGTAGGTAAGATCTACTTATTTTTTCTGGCTTATAAGCAGCTTATGAGTCAACTAATAATAAGTACATAGAAACATGTCATCAGCTCTTATAAGCAGTTTTGACTAGTTTATATGCACAAAGAAACACCACTTATAGTAGTGTTATGGTTTCACTTTTACTCTCATTAGATTTATGGGTTAAGTTTCCAATCCATACTGGATTTAAGCCCACAATTTCTCTATATAAGCATTGTAATAGTCTTTAGAAAAGAATGAAGGTGCAAGTCAAAAAGTGATATAAAGAAAGCTAAAGCCTATTTAGTCAAGGTATGACATCATGGGTGCTTACCTCATGAGCATGACCTCACCATTCAAGAAGAACCCTTTACAGCTATACTACAACTATTTCACACTCCCCCTCAAGCTGGAGTATATAAATCATATTCTCCAAGCTTGTTAAAAATATATTTTATTCTTGGTCCTCTCACTGTTAATCTTCTGTGCCAACATAGCTTGTAACAATATGACCAGTAACTATTTTCCCTCGGATGAAATGACAATCAACTTCGATATGTTTAGTTCTTTGGTGATATACTGGATTGGAAGTGATGTGTATAGCTACTTGGTTGTCACACATTAACTGAACAGGTTTTGTATTGCCACACTTCAATTCCTGGAGCAGATGCTTCAGCGACAGAATTCACATGTTGCAAAAGCCATTGCATGATATTCAGCTTCTGCAATTGATCTTGCAACTATATCTTGTAGGTGTGTTGGTTTGTAAAAGTTGTTTCCGTTTGTTCTCTATATATATTCAAGAGCACAAAGAATCCTATACAAGTTCACAATAATAAAATACTCTGTTTTGCTTTGATCCGGTCCTGTATAACAATTGGTATCGGAGCGGTCTGAATTGCGATTAGGGGTTGTGCGATCTACAGCAGAAGGGATAAACCAGATCATAAAACAGAGCTTTTCAACTTCCTCGACAATAGATCAAAAATCTTTGACCAGATTTCTTCCTCGCCTAGAAAAAGAACATCAAGTTGCTAGTTTTTTTCTTGGGCAAGAGTATTCCAACCAAAAGGAACGGGAAAAACGAATCAGCAGGATAGCTTTCGTTTAGTGGCTTGGAAGACGAAAAGAAGGGCCTTGTTTCTATTTGATGATCGATTGCAGGTCGCTGGAAGGAATCAAAGTCTAAGAATTTTGCAAAAATTGTCGAAGGAATACAAGTCGTGCAATGGAAGACAACCAAAAATAGACAGATTGTGACTACAAGGGAAAATAGTTAATAGTTTTCCAACCTTAACACAATGCCGTCTCAGGAAGCAGTCGGAAGATTGAAAGCATTCAAGGAATGCATCAAAACGCCAACTGAGGAAGGAGATACACATGGTAAACTACTATTCACTAAAGGTGATGGAAAAGAGAAGGTTAAGGAGCACAAATGTGAGCATTGTGATTGCTGGAGCTCAAACCCAGAAGACTTTGGACGTGGTCGAGGTAGAGGTCGGGGATGATGGTCGGTTTCAGCGGTTCTTTTGTTCTGCAACACCATTTTGCTGTAGTGTATCAACACAAGAAGATGTTATGGACTTATGGTTATATAGATTAGTGAAAAACTCTTTGGCATTTGTTATATCCCTGGATGGCTCCACCAAAAATCCCAACTCCTCCCAACATATCCAAAAGTCTTTTATCTCTTCTTTTATCCCAAAATAAAGCCTTTACCATATATTTTAATCCCTGGTCAATAATAAGAAACCAAAACCTTTTTTTTTTGTTGTTATTTTCCTTGTTTTAAGCCTTTTAATAAACAAATAAAACCTTCTCTCCCTTCCTTTCATTCCCTGGCCAAATATACCTCACAACCCAACACACCACCACACCCTTTGAACCCCACAATTATCCTTCCATTAAATTTACACCCTTAAGGCCAAAACCTCTCCTAATAATAGCCTAAATAAGCACTCCCTTACCCCCATATACTGGCCGAAAATAACCTGTCAAAAACCCCCCATTGTGTCCCTCAACTAGGCTAAATAAACAGCCACAAAAATCCAAGACACATTGACCCACACCCACACCAATCCACCCTCCTTTGTCTCCCCCATATCCTGCCTAAGAAATGCCTCTAAAACAGCCAGCCCATCTCCCTCATTTAACCCTTTCCCTGTCCAGAATTATTTCCCCCAAAACCCAATCAAATAAGTGAGATACATTCACCTATCCTTACCNCTTTGAGTATTATTAAAATAGTGTGATGCTATTTTAGCCAAATTCCTAATTCTATATCTTAAGAGTGGTTATCTTAAGTGTGAGTTTTAGGTTCTAGATATTTGATTAAGTGTGTAATATCTTAATTGAATTCTAGATTCAAACCCCAAGTTAGGATAAGAGTGTGTAATATCTCCTAACACCAACTTGGTTTTATCCATCCGTGATATTTCTTCCATTTCATATCCCTCCATTTCTCCTTCTTAATCCTATTCTTTTTCTTCCATAAAATACCAAAAAAGAACTCCTAAAATACCCTCCATACTTTCGGCCACTATTTCCCTTCCATTTTCCTCCGCGCATCCGCCACTAAATTATCAACTTGATAAGACCCCCAGTTTACCCCTAACAGCATTATCACTACAAATGATATTTATGATACGACCAAACTGAGTTTGAATTTCCCCTCAGAATTTTTGGAATATATCAAATAGTTCAAAATGTTCTTTCATTAAATATAACCAAGTATATAGGAATAATCATCAATAAAGATTAGAAAGTATTGAAATCCCATTGTAGACTTAACCCAATATGGCCCCCACACATCAGTATGGACCAGATCAAACAAAGATGCTGCCTGTTTATTGACTCTTCTTGGAAAAGACTTATGGGGTTGTTTTCCAAGATGATATGACTCACATTCAAGGGGTGACTGACATGGTAAACTTGGTGCCATATGCTGAAGTTTTCCAAAAGTAGGATGACCAAGACGATTATGTAAAGTAATTGCTGACTCGACAGACACATGCAATAGAATCTGGCGGATTAAGAAGATAAAATCCCCGAGATTCACATCCTTTGCCAATCATCTTCCCCGTAATTTGGTCGTGAAGGACCCAAGTGCTTGATGTATTTGAGACACATGCAGTGGACGAGCTTGGACAAGATATGGACGCTTTATACTTCTGGTATGATCCATACTCATCAGGTGATATCACAACTGAGGGTAGTTGGCTTTGAGCGATATTGACAGACTATGAAGGTCTTCCATGTAGCTTCCAACATTATCTCTTATATGTCCAGTTTGTTACAGAAGTCACACTTCGGGCTCCAGCATTTATTTGATGTCCAATCAGGTGACACGAGTCACACTTTGGACGATTATGTTTTGGATTGCCTGTATTTGGACGATTCTGATTCTGTGAAGTAAGAATAGTAGAATCTCATGGGGATGGATCATTGGGGATGGGAGTATGGGACTGATGGACTTGATAGGGTTTGCTCTCGTGTAGACTGAAAATCTGTATGCAAGCCTTCTAAGGTTGAATTAACTGTTGCCGCTGAGTTAATTGTTGGTTGACATCATCTGGAATGTGTTGAATCGTCTTGTATTCAAACATTAGAGCTTCTGCGCGGCCAAGAAAGTCTTGAATATCCATGTCTTTCTGTCTCAAGTTGGCAATTTTGGATCCAAATGAAAATAACCCTTGAATATCATCACAGTAGTTTGATTTGGCCTTTTCAAAAATTTGCTTGCAAGTATGATAGGGTTGATATGTTGGAAGAAGTTTGGGATCAATAGAATGCCATAAAACAATACATGATAAGGTGTCCATTCTTTACCATTCAGTTTTCTTATCACGGATAGTAGTGTTATCTTTGGTCAAATGATCAAACTGACCTTGACCTTTGAACCACATCTCTACAGAAACAGCCCATGTTTGATAGTTAGAAGCGCCAACCAATTTCTAGGAGGTAATGTTGGAATAGTAGCAAAAGCGGACAGTGTGTGAGTGATATGCTCAATGGCCCTTTGCACATTTGAGGGTCATTGTTGTTTGTTTTTTTGTTTAAATGTGAGTAAATATTAAGCATTACCGTAGTGTTAGTGAAGGAAAGTCCCAGTGTAGTAAAGGATTCAAAACGGATCTCTTAAAAAACTGCAAGTCAAAAGTGAGAGTTAATTATTCTACACTTGCAGGGGGTTTCTTTTGTCTCAATTGTTACAACATAAGTTTTGTCATTTTGGGTAGCATCTTATGACTGAAGATTACTTTTGTATGTATCTCTAATAATGGAAATGCATATGTTGTATACACACTTCAGATGAATGGCTAAATTTCTTGGAACGGATTGGTCATGGTGATAATGATGATGGTGATGCTTTCCAAGAAAGCCCAAGTGATGCTTTGGAGCTTCGGTTATGGGTGTCCTATCGGGGCCAGACTCTTGCAAGAACAGGTTTTTATTTATCTCACACTTGCACATTGCAAGCTTTAGGTTGAATACTTTTTTACTTTTTTTATTATGACAAGTGGACATTATTTTCTTCTCTGGTTCCATTCACAGTACGTGGTATGATGTATTATAGATGGGCTTTGATGCTGCAGAGTTTTATGGAAAGAAGATCTCTAGGAGGTTCTTTATTTGTTTTATTAGATCATTTAGCATCTCATTCTCTATATTACATTGGCTAAACTTGCTAACTATGAGTGTCATATTTTCTTCTCCAAACAGAGGGGGGGTTTTCTCAGACAAACTTCACAACCCAAAGTTTTGAACTTTCGCGTGAAGCAAGAGCACAAGCTGATTTGAAGTTCACTTATGTGGTGTCCTGCCAGATTTACGGGCAGCAGAAGCAAAAAAAGTCTCCAGAGGCAGCAGATATATCTTTGTTGTTACAAAGGTTCTTTCATTATTGATTTCTATTTTTTATTTTTTCCTTTAGTTTTTTTCATCATTTTCAATGATTAGTTTCTGTTTATTTACATTTTCACTTCTTTTTACATTTATCAAAATAATGAAGTTTATTGAAAGTTTAAAAAGGTCAGCTGCAATTGTAACAAGTGCATGGCATGGAAGTCAATAAGTATATGCAATTATCGTATTTAATTTGCTTATTTCTAGGAATGAAGCACTCCGAGTTGCATTTATACATGTGGAAGAACATACTCAAGCGAATGGAAAGGTTTCAAAGGAATTCTACTCAAAACTTGTAAAGGCTGATGCACATGGAAAAGATCAGGTATGCAATTACTCCCTCCGTCCCGGAATGGATGCCATACTCACTCTTTTGTATTTCGGTGTTGACTTTCTAGTTTGGCCCTTCATAGTCCCACTTTTGTTGCCCTTTCATGGCTGGATATTGGCCAATTCGGCAGCCAACCGAACAGAGCCTGCAAATAAACTGCGACAAGGGCTAGGTCCGGTTCCACGCCAACAAGGCCACAACCTAGTTGATTTGGCAGTCGCAAAACTGGCTGAAGTCCTCGGAGGAGAATTGGGTCCCTTTGCTCAAAACCTCCTCCCAATTCAAAACCAGATTGCAGAATGTCTTTTTGAACCGGGCCGTCTCGAGCAAGGCTGCAAGGTAGATAGGCCCAAGTGCCTGCTCCTGGAGTTTTTTAACAGAGAGATTTTAACTTTGTACGGCGGAACGGAACTGAGATAGACTGTCATGGGTTTTTCTCGCACCCGTTTTAAGGAGGTGAATGGCTAGGGATCGGGTCACGGCTGGAATTGAGGACCGGGTTTCTGAGGCGGAGACCATGAATTACCGTTCAGAGACAGCATGATGGCTGGAAAAGAGCAGTGAGATGAGTGAAAGAGAGGAGAGGAGAAGGTTGGGAGGGGATAGTGAATGGCTGTGCATAAATGTGTGGATAATAAGTGTAGAAGGTTGAAAATGTTGGAAGAGTAAAAAATGGTAGAATGGACATTTGGTAAAGTTTGGATTGCCAAAAATGGAAAGATGACATTAATTTTGGGACATCCCTATAGAAAAGTGTTTCATCCATTCCGGGACAGATGGAATATTTTGAATACTTCTATATATGATGTATTTTGAATATATTTGGAATGTATGAATGATGTTTCTTCTAGCAATACAGTATTACAGTGTGACTTCTTTCTTAGTTTCATTCATTGCAAGTTATAAAGTATTCTTCTATTATTTATTCTGTTGGAGAAGAATATCTTCATGGCTACATCTATCTTGTTGAGCAGTTGATATCTATATTTGTTTGACAATATCATTGAACAGGTGATTACATGGGTTATCTATGTGAGTTTATTCCATTTTGGGTCCATTGCCAATGGAGCTAAAAGAGTCACTATTGATAATTTTTTAGTTTTTGGCTCATAGTGGACTAAATCAAAATGGGAAATTAAACTTCTTTGCTTCTTACTTTCAGTGAAGTTTTGTGAAGTAAATGCAGCAATGCTTCTGTGGTCTAACAGGGTCCCTTGAGCATAATAGCAGTTCCACATTTGTTTGCAAGCCTCTTGCTTGTGAAAATAGAGAACTTAGAAAATAGGAAATGTTAACTTGCAGCACATGCATAATAATGGAAATCCATCACTAGTTAGTATTCTGGATTTTAGTTTCTTCAGTGACAGTAGAAGATAGTTTTGTACAATATACTCCTTCCGCCCGGGAATTAATTTCCCAAGTTGACCCAACAGGATTATTTAGTAGAGTGAATATTAAGTTTGATTTTCCTAAAATACCCTTCTACCCTAATCCTATTCCTATCCTCTGCCACCAGCCCCTACGCCATCAACCCTGTCCCACCAACCCCTGTGCCACCAGCCCATGCACCACTGCTCTAGGATGTACTAAGTAGCCTTGACTAAGGCCATAACCATCTTTAGAAAGGAGCAATTATTTAACTTCAACCAAACCCTAATTCTTTGAAGATCTGAAAACAAGCGTGTCGCTCCCGGATCTGACCTCTCTCGTCGCCGGCGCTCTTACTCGGCTGACGTGCATCTCCCCTGGGTGGCGATGAGTTAATTCCCTCTTTTAGGGTTCCTCCGTGATTCCCTCCATGGAGTAGATCTTTGGAAGGGTGGCGGGTGTGATCTAAAAAGGTAAGGGAAGAAGAAGATCTGAAGGGGGAAGAAGAATAATTGAAAAAGGCAGAAGGTGGTGGTGTTGGTGGTGGCGGCGAGATATGATCATAAAGAAGTGTTTGAGAAAAAAATGAGAAATAGGGATGCTATGGCGGTGAGATCTACTAGCCAAATTAGGGTTGATAGTTTTGTTGATTTGGAAGGGTAAATAAGTCATTCAATACAAAATAGCTTTCCAGATAAGGAAATATGAAGTTAATTTCAGGACGATCCAAAACAAAAAAGCGGGAAGTTAAATCAAAACGACACATTAATCTCCCCTTGCTTCTTGCTTTCTATGAAGTTTTGGGTAGTAAATGCAAGAATGCATTTTGGATCTAATGGAAACACCCTCTGTTTTCACAGAGATAAGACTGTACATCTGCACCCAGACTCCAAAGAGGTTGGGATTATTTTGAGTTGCTTTTGCATGACTTGTTTTCTCATTCTACTCTGCTACTCCAATAGAATTAGTCTTTTAAGAATTAATGTTAATTTAATTTTCATATTGTTTAAACATATTCGGTGGGCTCTTTGTCTTCTTTTCCTGGAAACAAAGTTAAGTGTTACATATTAATGGAATGTAGATAGGGGACACATCCTTGTTTGTGAATTAAATGATAATAATATGTAAAAATTTCTTCTAAAGCTCTTTATTTGAACCACTACTTAAATATTTGTTGAGTGATTTATATGGCAGTTGATATCATGTGGTGATTTTATTTACAGCATTTTCATTTTTTTACAGGCTTAACTTCCATTGCGTTTTTGGCAGGAAATATATTCGGTTAAACTTCCTGGTGATCCAAAATTGGGTGAAGGAAAACCTGAAAATCAGAATCATGCAGTTATTTTCACCCGTGGGGAAGCTATTCAAACAATTGACATGAATCAGGTAATAAGCTACTTATATTTTCCCTGGCAGCTCTTGTGTGTATAGAAGTGAAACAGTAAGGCTGCTTGACTAGTGTAATGGACAAAGGGAGTACTAATTAATGTTTTATTGCCCTGGACTACTAGGTTCCTCAACGGTTTTATGCTACTTTGTCTCTTTTTGTCTCACCTATCTCATCTTCTCCCCAACTGTTAAAAACAGGATAACTACCTTGAGGAGGCAATGAAGATGAGGAACCTTCTTCAGGAATTTCATGAAAATCATGGACTACGGCCACCCACCATACTTGGTGTAAGGGAGCATGTATTCACAGGAAGGTTTGTGTCATATTTTCTAAAATTATTCTGAGATTTCCTGTCCTCTTGTATTGTTTGCTACACGAACTTGTTTCTGCTTCGTCCACTCCCAATGGAGGCATGGAGCTAACATAGTCGTTATTGCTGATGTTTCAGCTTTTGGTAAATAATGGACCAAATCAAAATGGCACATAACTTCCTTTGCTTCTTACATGATATGAAATTTTGATGCACAAACTTTGTCCTTTTCGTTTATCATTGCCAATGCATCAAGGGTCTATCAGAAACAGTCACTCTATATATTTTAAAAGTGCAAGGCTGCATACATTTTGACCTCCCACAACTCAATGGAGTTGAGGTTATACTTTGCTGTTGTTTTAATTTGTATATGCTATTATCCTTGCAGTGTCTCATCATTAGCGTGGTTCATGTCCAACCAAGAGACCAGCTTCGTGACATTGGGACAACGGGTTCTGGCTAATCCTCTCAAGTAAGAACTTCTATATCTAGATATTGATTTTCTTTGATAAATGAATTTAAATGGTAGCATTTTTCTGTGTAAATTCTAAATAATGTTTGTGTTATTAACTTGTATTTTATCAATCATGTGTCTGGGCATCCATTGTCTGAGTGAGTGTTGTCTTTCTTTAAGTGTAGTGCATGAATATGTTTTCTTTGGAGAAACAATACAAAAACATGAGAAACCAAATCTGGGTAGTAAACTATGTCCACCTACTACATTTATCAGTTGTGTTTTAGTTCCATTTCTGATGTGACTGCCACGCGACCTGTCGTGGTAACCAACACCGTAAGTTGATAGTTTGGACCATGGATTTTTTGGAATAAGCAGGTGTAACTTTCACACCTCTACGTGACCCTTCAACACTAATGGGGTGATTTTACTAGTAATTTAGCTTAACCAATTAATAAACTCACAAAGGTCAAGAGAAAACATTCAATATATGTCAAACTCAAGATGTGTTACAATTATATTATCTGATATATGAAATCTATGATAGCACAGGTATTGGTATTCTATGATATATAGTGCGGTACTCCTGTTTCTAATTGGTTTTGAAATATCATTGAAATAAGTTTTAAACAATGACTGTTTTTCTAGTTGAATTACTAACTTCAAAATTCATACTTCATTTGGTTCTGAATTATTGTCAATTTGATATGTGAGAGATGATAAAAAATAAGGAATTAAAGCTGCTATTTCCCATCTATATTACTATGCTGTTGGCCGTTTTTGCATCCAATGCACTTTCTTTTTTATTAATAATAATCTAATCGATTATTTTGAAAGTTTGAGGAAGAGTACTCTGATTCTGATAAGTTTTATGTTTCAGAGTGAGAATGCACTATGGGCATCCTGATGTTTTTGACCGAATTTTCCATATTACTCGAGGTGGCATAAGTAAAGCATCACGTGTCATCAACATCAGTGAAGATATTTTTGCCGGTATTAAATAGGGACAACTGAAAAGAGTTTATTCTTTTTAATTTTCAGAACAAGAAAATCCTTACATTAAGGATTCTTCACAGGCTCGAGTGTTTATGTAATAGCTCTATAAAAATTGGGATATGTATCAGCAACTCTTTTTTTCATTGAATCTCTGCAGGGTTTAATTCTACATTACGCCAAGGCAACATAACTCATCATGAATATATTCAGGTTCATTATTTACATTTAGTTAGTATTCAGGGCGATCAATATTATACTGTTAATGTTTCATTGATGAATTCATAGTCTCATCGTTTTGGTTGTAACTTTTGTTGTTATAGGTTGGTAAGGGAAGAGATGTCGGATTAAATCAGATCGCCTTATTTGAAGGCAAAGTTGCAGGTGGTAATGGGGAACAAGTTCTAAGCAGGGATGTTTACAGGCTTGGGCAGCTCTTTGATTTCTTTCGGATGCTTTCCTTCTTTTACACCACTGTTGGATTTTATGTTTGTACCATGGTAACGTTTTTCCCTATTATGAGGTTTGTGTTGTTTGGAATTAAATATGATCTTAATCTGTGTTCCCTTGCATGCAGATGACAGTCCTTACAGTTTATATTTTCTTATATGGGAGAGTATATCTGGTAAACTCACTAATATTTTCCTTGTTTTCCAGCTTATTGGCTTTCCCTAAGTAGTTTTTTTCCATTAACATATCTATAATTTGAGGAAGTGTGAAACAAAAAGTTGTACAGTCAGACTTTGGGAGTAAGACGAACATGTTTCTCAATCAGAAGACACACATATCTGTTAGAGAAGTAGTTGGTATATAAGCTCTTGAGTTCAACTAAAGTAATCAATTGGATTCAATCTTTTAATGTAGTTCAGCCCAAGTGTCTTATTACCGAATCCAGTTATCCTTACCCCATCCTAAATTCTATCAATATCTCTCTTAATGATTACAAGAAGGGAGTGAGGGGTGGGCATGATACGGTATTTGACGGTATTTAGCTCGTGCCGATACCATACCAATTTTCTCAATTGGGTATGGGATTTTAGGTTGTATTGATTTCGATCTCGAAATATCTGTTCAGGATGGTTCAGTATCAACTTCGGTACAAATTGGGATGGATACATACATATATTACTTTACATTTAAAAATGTAACAAGACCCTTTGTTTTTGAAAAATCAAGTGTATTTAAATAAAGCAACATAAAACCTGAAAAATGAATATTTAAAATACAAGAAATGCTTATGAATCTCTATTTATATTTCACAAACAAAAGAGAAATATGATAACAAAATAGTATTTCACATGTTTCTTAATGTTTTTATCAAGGTTTTGAAAGGTGAAAACGAGCCTCGAGGCGGCGGAGAAAAATGCCTTGAGGCGTAAGCCTCGAGGCAGAATGAGGCGTGAGCCTCAATTCAGTTTAAAAAAAACAAAGCTAAAATGAATACTCCATGGTGATTACAGAATACATAATCCATAATCATGATGCTGACATCTAAAGGCTTCAATTCCTGGATTTTTGCAACAAGTAATATTCTATCATAGTTTTTAAAATACAAAAAAAAGAAGAGAGGATTACTCTAACAAATTTAAAAAATAACATAAAACACAAAGTCACAAACGCCTCAAATCCGTCTTCAAACATGATAAAATGGATAAAGTTTCATGATTTTTTAATCTACTTCATAACCAAAATTAGACATGTTTATTTCCACTACATAATACAATGAAATTTGTAGTTAAGCGACCTTCATACAAATTAAACAAAACCCATAGATGAAGAGGGAGAATAATGCTGGGAAAAGACACAGAAATTTAAAGTTGGAACAAAAACTTGAAAAAATTAGGTGAAGTAATTAGAATATGAAGCAACTTTTGTCCATAAAAAAGGATATGAAGCAATTATGTTATGAAAATGAAGAGACTGAAGGAACAAAAGGTGCGTTGTAGATGGGGTGTCCTAATTTATCAAGTGTAAGAAGTTTTTAACAAAAATCTAATGCCCAAGATTTTTTTTAAAGGCCCAATTGCTTTGTATGGAGTATCATTTAACCCATAGGTGCTGAAATTTTAATTTGAAGCGAGGCTACCGCCTCAGTTTCGCCTCAACCGCCTCATACCGCCTCGGCCTGGCAAGGCGTACGCCTCACATACCCTTACCAAGGCTTACGCCTCTAAGGCTTAAAAGGCCCGCCTCACCGCCTTACCGCCTCGAGGCGGTCCGCCTGGAACGCCTTTTAAAACCATGGTTTTTATATTTATCCACACATAATAAAACTTGAACCAAATTTTCAAAATAAACTTATTACATAATGAAGAAATATAAAAGATTAATTTATTTACAATATATTAGTATATATGTTAGGTTTTAGGTTTTTGATATGAGAAGTTACCACGTACCGCTCTCAAATACCAAACTCAGTTTGGTTTTTTTGGTATTTTTTTGGATCATTTTTTGTGGTTTTTTGGGAATTTCGGGGTCGGTTCGGTACTTGCTCACCCCTTTTACCCTAGTAAGAAAATGCATGTGTTATCTTAAATTTATTACTTGTACCATGTATTTTCGGATGGCATAATACTTTCCAAGCCTTCAATTTTTACATGCAGTTGCTTTCACTCCCAACAAATTCAAAAACACCTTATTAAAAGGCTCAAAAATGAGGATGACATAAAGATATAGGCTCGAAATTATTCATAATCTGGAGACATAATCTGAGAGATTCACGAATAATTATTCATACTCTCTATCTTTATCTTATTGAATTCTCTTTTTGTGTTGTATTGTTTTATATTCAAACAGGCTTTTTCCGGACTTGATGCGGGAATTTCACGACGAGCTAGATTTTTGGGTAATACAGCATTGGATGCTGCTCTAAATGCCCAATTTTTTGTTCAGATAGGAGTATTCACGGCAGTACCAATGATCATGGGTTTTATACTTGAAAAAGGTTTGCTTAAGGTAGTTTCTTTTAGCACCTTTTAATCTTTTAATTGCTTGCCTGTTTGAATGAAAGTTCTGTTATGATATTGATACTGTGCATATGCTTATTCTGGCTTTTAAGTTCTCTATTATATTATTGCAGGCTGTTTTCAGCTTCATTACTATGCAGTTGCAGCTTTGTTCTGTCTTCTTCACATTTTCTTTAGGGACCAGAACCCATTATTTTGGACGTACAATCCTCCATGGTGGTGCAAAGGTATGAAAAAAAGTGTTTTGGGACTATTTTGAATGTTGAAAATATGTACTATGGTATTGAAATATCTTTTTTGATTTCTAGTACCGTGCCACTGGAAGAGGATTTGTTGTTCGACACATCAAATTTGCAGAGAACTATAGGCTCTATTCTAGAAGTCATTTTGTCAAAGCGTGAGTCGTGTTCAATTCTATTGCAATAATAATTCAATAAATGCTTGATAGACTTCATTCCTATCTCTTTCTTTAGTTATAATGTTGATGTTTTTTAACACTTTGCAGGCTTGAAGTTGCTCTACTTCTAACAGTTTACATTGCATATGGATACACGAAGGGAGGTGCCTCCTCATTTATTCTATTGACTCTCAGCAGTTGGTTCCTTGTTATATCATGGCTATTCGCTCCTTATATCTTCAATCCATCTGGATTTGAATGGCAGAAGTAAATATTCTACTATCTGAGACTTTTATATTAAGAATTTTTTTCCCTTTCTTTGTCGTCAAAATTTAAATGTTACATTTGATATCTAATGGTAGGACTGTCGAGGATTTTGATGATTGGACCAGTTGGCTATTATATAAGGGGGGAGTAGGTGTGAAGGGAGATAATAGCTGGGAATCTTGGTGGGATGAAGAACAGGTACGTTTTTTGTGTAACTGAATCAGGTTTTAACTTATGTGTCTTTATCCCTGCATGATAGAGTCTATCTCTTTTCCACTTTTCTTTGTCAGAGAGAACATATTGCAACTTTATGCTGGATGCATTTTGTTTTGTTTATTGTTTTTTGGCATAGCTCCCGTTTTTTCAGATTTGTTGTAATTCATCCATTTTGTATGCCAAGTTTACCTCTGTAGCTCAATTGAATCACATTTTTACCTTTTAAAGAGCTTCTGACTGGTAGTTTAAGCATTATGTATTTATTTGTTCTATTACGTTAAACGTAGTGTGATTGATAATCAGAGGTTTTCCTCATAATACATAATTACATAATACAAAATGACTATATATACATAAGAAGGGTGCTAATATAAGGAAACTAAATCTCCCATATTAATGCCTAAATCACCCATATTAATGGCCAAATCAGAACCTGCCATATTCTCAGGACTTAACTAAAATACTAATATTATTATTAATAACACTCCCCCTCAAGTTGGAGCATATATATTTATCATGCCCAACTTGTTACATAAATACATAAGCCTGGTGCCATTTAGCGCTTTAGTAAGGAGATCTGCTAATTGATCTCCTGCCTTCACAAATCCAGTAGAAATCAATCCCTTCTGTATTTTCTCCCGAACAAAGTGACAATCTACTTCGATATGTTTCGTCCTTTCGTGAAAAACTGGTTTGGATGCAA